AAATACAAACCATCTTTACTCCTTTTACGGCTTTTTTTTTTTGAGGGGGGGGGGGGGCGTTTTGAAAAATGCGTTTTGCCCCCCCCCCCCCCCCCCCCCCCCCCACTTCCGGCGCCTATGGTCTAGGTAATCAACAAATAAAAGTGATCAAATGACAATTATAAGGGCAACTATTATTAATTTCAATTAATAAGGAATGAAAATCTTAGCTTGAAATTTGTTTAAATATACTATTGAAACTAACATTAAAAGCATTACTATTACGAATTTGGCATGCCGAAGGGTTGATTTTATGTTATTGGTAGAACATATTGGAAATATTGGAATTGAATTTTATAATGGATTAAGAAATAAAGTGTATTACAATGCAAATTCGCGAAGAATATTGAAATTGATTTTTTTAGATAATAAACAAAATAAAAAATGAACAGATTGCACTGGCTTAAATACTCGGTTATCGGTGGGAATTCATTCATATTCCAATATTAATCGCAATTTCAAATATAATGCTATTATTATAAATGTTGATTCACAATTATATATGAACAAATTGAAAATTGATTTAAAAATTCAATGATTAAACACCTATTGCACAATCACTGGCAAATACTCCCATCAAAGAGATCTAAGCATGTTACTCCATATAACAGGAGAGTGAATGTCAGATATACAACATTATTTACTTCAGAAAAAATGTTCATTCAGAGTCCTTACCAAGTAAGGAAGAGTGCTATTTCTCAGTCTTTCTGTTCGGCATTTAAAGTCTCTAAATCTTTCACTGTGTCTCAATCGGCAATTCGTGCTCTGCATCTCTGGAAGCTAGTCGCAAAAGTGCTTGTAGAGTGATTCTGCTAACCTTAGACATAGATGTTCCCCTCTGTCAGAGAGGGATTGTAGACCTGAAATAGCTGTGGTATCGATCGTGACAAATGAAACGGAGGGCTTTTTTCTGGACTCTCTCGATATCATTGGCCTGTTCAGGTGTGATGGATGAAATCTAAACTGGAACACAGTACTGAAGCACAGGTCGAATGTAGCACGTATAAATTGTGAGGAGGTCTTCCACAGGAGCTTGATAACGCTTAAGGGTCCGAATGATGTAGAATTTTCGCGATGCCCTTCCTGTGATATCACGAACGTGGCTGTCCCAACATAGGTTATGCTGCAGTATGACACCCATAAGCTTGAGCTCTTTGACTTCCTGCAGAGTTGCATCATCTAACTCAAGATGCAAAGGTGGAAATTCGGTCCGAGAGAAGGACACTCTCATCGATTTGCACTTTGACCAGTTGATGCGAGGTCCATTATTCAAACACCATTGATGGAACAGCGTTAAAGTGAAGGGCATCACGTTGCTTGACCCTCGTTTGTGGCTTTCCGCGAAAGTTATGTCATCGGCGTATTTCCATCTGGATATATACCTGCTGCGTCTGTCAATGCGTCATTGATCAACGCAAGGAAAATTGCTAGACCAAGGCGAGTACCCTGGGGTACACCTCCAACTGGAGTAAGAGAAGATGAAAGTACTCCATTGTATCTTGTCATCTGTTCTCGTCCGTGAAGAAAGCTACTGATCCATGGCAGCAGGGATGGTGGAGCACCCATTGCGAAGGGTTTATTTATTGCGATATTGTGATTGACTAAGTCGAAAGCTTTTGAGAAATCGGTTACAACAATGGTGGAAACAGTTTGGAGCCGATCAGCATTGGTGCAGGCGCGGACACCATACAGTGCTTTTCGTCTGCGATTACCAAATGATTGAAACTTTCAGTAATTTTTCAAGTGTAGTTTAACATACAGTGTCTCAGATTTTCCGTGATGTTTTAACCAATCTTTATTCAATAAAAGGATAAGGTAAGAATTATTGGTAGATTTTTGTTTTAATTCGGCATATAAAAGACGTATCGACTGCTTTAATATTCAAGATCTGGCTGTTTTATATGCTCTCGGGAACTAGCACATCCTGCACCCAGATGCGCCTCAGGTCGTTGCAGGATGTCCGCGCGTTCCCTTGAGCATATAAAACAGCCAGGCCTCTCAAAGCAGTCGATATCTCTATATCAATTGCTGTGTACCACGTTACTCTGTTTACAAATCTTTTGCATTTCACTTTTAACTGCAAATGTACTAAACATTGTATTTAATATGCAATGAATATAATTAGGGTGGTACAATATGATTTAAATCTCATACGTACATTGATGCAATGTTTCTTTCACAGTTTAAATGATTAATTAAGAATTACCTGGTTCCGTGCAATATCTTTATATCTATGTTTTCGGAATTGAATGTGAGGGTTCACAAGCCAGAGCAACAGAGAGGAATTTCACTTTGGGGGAACACTGACCCACAGGCTATTCCTTAATGTATTCTTTGTATATACTACTTGTTTGTATATCTTGGATTTGTATGGTCAAATAAATAATATCATTACCAAGTTCTACGATATGATTATTTTTTGTGTGAAAAACTTTATGGTACTACCCCCTCTACACCTCTGGCAATGTGCATGTATAATAATTTCCCTTTATCAGACAACGAAATCTAATGATATCAAGGTAATTCCTGGACCTCTACGAAGGGCAAAGCCTTTATATTAATGGCTCTCAATAAATAAATTAAGCCGTTTCGTGTTTTTAATAATTGATGTATGTATTTGTTTATAGTCATGTATGATGAGTGTGTCTGTACATTAAACCACACATACCAGTCGAAACTAAACCAAATCAAAACGATGTTGTATTTCTAGTTTTCCTATGTATGGACCGGGATTTTACAGTTCCACCCTTTCTATCAGTCATTCTGAAATTATTTAGCCTGAATGATGTTACGGGTGAAGTCCTCTACTCGTCTCCCCAGGTCCTTAGTTCACTCAACAGACGACAAAGTTACACAAAGTGGTTAGATTTCAGGGACTGATCTTATTCAATCGTCATTTCGAGCTCCGTTTTCAAACAACTAACACTCAACTCGTCCACAGGGCGACTCCGTACAATGTTTCGGTCGATACACCCATCACAATGATTAAGCTAAACCTTCATCAGATAAACGACTAATTTTGCAGCGAAACCAGGCTCCTAATACCCTTCTTGTAATTGGTATGGCATGATGAAGAGTAAACGTATAAGGCTCCCGCCATGCAATGATTATGATGATAATAACAATAACAGTTATAATCTTAGTTTGAATATTTACAATTTCATAAGTCTAATCAACTGTCGGATTGGAAAGTGAAATAAAGATGATGTTTGTGTCCGTCGTTTTTATGTGACCACATTGTATTTGACGCCAGAACATTTGATAAATTATACGAGTCTTAACATCCCGATCACAATGGGGATTTTCTTTTTAATTGTCGACGAAAGCCCAACTACACATGTAAATTGTTCTCAGAGACATTGCATTTTATTAGAAAAATGTAGCATAGAATGAAACATATTATTGTTGCCCGTTTGAAGGCCAAGATGTGATCAATGTAGCCCTTAAAAGAAATTCCTGTCCCCAGACGCTGGGCTAAAGACTTTCTAAAGTAAAAATTTAAAGAAAATATTTATAGGAATGGGATATAATGTATCAATATTCAGGGGTCAAATCTCCAGCATTTTGAAATAGAGGTAGATGTATCCGCCTCTTCCCTTCTCTACTCTCCTCTTCCCTTTCTCTTCCCCTCCCTCTCTCTCCTTCTCTCTGTCTCTCTCTCTCTCTCTCCTTTATAGTAATCTCTTTCACGTTTTTTTCTCTCTCTCTCTCCTTTTCTCTATCTCTCTCACTCACCAGATCTGTCCTTCTTTCTCTTTTCAGCATTCATATTCTAATTTTCTGTTTGTAATGAAATTTCCAATTGTAATCGAAATACGCCCTAGGCCATATATATGACATAAGAAAATCCGGAAGCCAGCTTAAAATCACATATGTATCTAAAGAAAATACTGTTCCAATATAAATATAATATGACTCTAAAAACCACTTGTTCGAATTTCAACATTTTATTCAGTGCATTACTCTGATTCTACATTTTACCATGTATTAGTTATTATTCCATCTACGTTTAGCGGTTTAATATAGTCCAACGAACACGACTTCTACCCACATACGGAAGCATTCGTACCAGTCAGAATGTTTAAGGTATGCAAAAGGTTCAATTTTGTATACTGGAAAAATACTAAGTGCCTAAAAAAGCTTCTTAACTCGCTAAAATCATTAACAACACTCTTGGTTCGTTGCGATTCCAGCAATGGGATCGTAGCATCATGTTATGGTTAAATAAGTTGCACGAACGTGAAATGGCTTGTGCTTTCCCATGATAACAGCTAATAATGCTGGCACTGGAACTGACGCAAGCATTATCCTTACATCTATACACCTACATAATTAGAATAGGGAAAAGGTAACAATATTATTGTGGTTACGTTATGATATTATACTTGTGCAAAAAGACAGCATAGGACACAACTGGAATGTCATTTGTCTTCTTATGATTTACATGTGTTACATTAGAGAGCATCAGAAAGAAAGAAAGAGAGGGGAGAAATAGAATTAAACTGTACGCATGATTTTAAATGTAAAATCTGATGAAACGACGTAATATTTGATTTAAGATACAATATTGCGTAGGCATCTTACTAGGCAAAATAAAATACAATAGTTTCATACATATTACATTCCGGTTCAAGAAATATTTGATTATTTTGATAAAACATGCATTAGAGACATAAATTCTTATCATATGTGTTGATAATTTAAAAGTGGTGTCTTACAAAACTTTTTTACGATATAGCGAATAACAGCAAAGACTGATTTCCATGCAGTGATAACAAACATTTATCATACATTTTCAGTTTACTAAAGTCTGCTTTGGTATATAATTCAATACTAACAGTGTATTTTTGTTAAATCAGTTAATATATATTTTCGTTATAAACCAGAAAATATTTAGAATTAGATGTTTACTTGATAAATATACATACGTTTACATACAATGAAATGGATAAACGGGTTAAATAATTCACGTAACAGACTGTAACAGTAAACAGGACAAGGATTTAGATACAATCATGACAATAGTATCTGAGAGAAAATGACACGAATCATATTCCATGTATAAGCCTATTCGTACACTATTAGAAATAAAGTTGGGCATCAGATGTTTTCTAATTACAGTTTGTTCTTTATGTTCTTGATATGATAAATTATCTAAGATTATAATTCTTCCTTTGAAACAACGGAAATAAACCCAAATATATATATGCAGACCTTTACCAACTTTGATCCACCGAAATCTTGTGACGATGGAAGTTTTCCTTTTTTTTCTTCTGACAGAGGACTCTTTATTTCTAATTAAGCGGAATTTTTGTATCATTTCTGGTTTGGCATTGTTTATGTTAGCATACCAACTTTGATTTACCCGGTTAGTCACACTTCATTATGATCGTGGATGAAATATGTCACAGAGACGACATATGCGGTATGGGTTTCCTTTTTAAATAAATGTAGTGGTTGTTTTAGCATTATTTTCTTAAGCTGTGGGAAGGGTAATGATATGTTGAGGATCGCCGAAATCATTTTCAGTCGCCTTTTCGTCTGTATTCACATACACAGCACTAGAACACTTTCCAGTAGAACTAGGACTAACATTATCCTGATTGTCTGGGTCGTTATGCAGCGCATTCTCATATGTAATGTCTTTATTCACATACACAGCCTCAAATTGCTTTGGAGTAACATTAGGACTGCCGAAGTCGTCATTGTCGCTACCAGGAATAGGCTTCAAGTCCATGTAGTAGCTTGTAGTTGTGTCAGCGTAATTGGTGCGAGGAATAGGCTGCAAGTCCATGTAGTAGCTTGTAGTTGATTGGGAAGGTTGAGACGGATCAATTTCCTGTTGTATTTCAGCATAGATTCCCTGGTCCATCTAGAAAAATATTTTAAAGCGAAATACATCAAGTGAATCTCAAAATATCATAATGATCACTTCATTATTCAGAGTATGTAGGCTATCAATGGTTTGCATTTTATATTCAAATATCCACTTAACAGTGTCTCAGCATCTTATCTAAATATGAGTATATAACAAATAACAAATGAATGATTGAATATGTATAGTGGGTATATAATCCAGTAGCTTAAAACTCAAAGGCAGAGCAAAAACACATTGGTACACAGTGGAGATTACGGCGCCTGGGGCGAACAACAATATTCGCCGCCAAGCATTATTTAATTGTAAGTTTTAAAATACAAACAAGATTTCCTTGCTTTTAAGCAACGTGAAAATCATATTTAGTAGACCGAACCTTATAAGATTGGTCACCAAAGTTTCAATACATATACAATGAATTTTTGGTGCAAAGTGGACAAGCGGTATTTTTTTTCTTCAAAACGCAAGTTTTCGTGCATTTTAACATGCGGACTTTTTCAAGGTACCACAGCAACAGATCGTAATTTTTTTTATCAAATTTGAATAAAAAATGATATACAAAAATCACAATTTCACTTGTTTCTTTTCAAAGCGCTAATCTGAACAATTAGATTCGTGGAATTTAGTTATGACTTAAGTTGGTCATTGAAATTCATGATTTTATTTATCGAATGCTTTGGATGCAAAGTTCGGAGATAAGTTACTTCGACATACCGAAGCTGCGCTATACCCGATATGCACGTATTTTTTTGTTAAAGAAAACAATGATTAATAAAGTAATACTATTTGGATTATCTAAATATATTTGTTTCTTTTAATAGCATATTAGTAGTTCATGCAAAATGATAGACTTACCATTCGGCCTTCTGGTTGAGTGTTGTTTCCATTGTCTGCTTGAAATGCAAATAACGAAATTAAATTTTTAAAAATCATGTTAACAAAAGTACCGATTATGGCCAAGAGACAGCGGTAAAACGAAAGAGAGACAAAAACAACAACAAAAAACAAAAAAATATAAAGAGGTGGTATAAAGTGAAAAGAAATTGAAACAAGAAAGTTGAAGATTGAAGCCTAGTGAAGATACTATAATATTGAAATGGGGAATTTATCTTAAATGTGTATGTTTTGGGCCAGCTACTTTACGACATACCCGTCTTTCGTTTCACACAGCATAACACTCCATAGAAGTACATCAAACCCAGTGAAATCAGCAGGATGAAGCCAGCAGAGCCAATCACTCCAAGTGCGATCGCCATGAAAAGAGGCATGTCAGTTGGTGGCTCCTTCTCAACTGATGGCGGGTCTAGGACAAACGAAACCATGACTAGAATGTTGTGGATATTGCTTTTTTAAACAATGTTGTAGGAGATTGGTTTAATAATAATGGCAAAGTTTAGTTATATCCATGGTTTTATGTTTGAATGTTTCGTTCACATCCCTATATCCCCTGTGTTTAAAAAAGTGTTTTGCGAAGCCATGTATAATTTGTTATGATGTTTGGCAAGGTGAAAAATGACTATTACCAGAAAAACCACACGTGATCCACCGACACCTGCAATTTTATCCACTCTGAAACGTAAATACACCCAACACATGGAAATATAAACATACCCACGCATGCAACATGTGAAACTAAATACAAAAGTTCACTTACCCACGCACTTACTCACAGCTGATCATGAACTATTTTTGTCTCATGCTCGATCATTTCTCGTTCTTTACGTTGATAACATCTAGGTTATAACGGCTTTATATTTCAATATGCATTTTACATAGTAGCCTATAAAATTAAGGGAGCATGCTATGATTATGATTCCATTGAATCTGGGTACTTCTGATTTGTTTTTCTTGCCACTTCAGGTCTCTCCTTTCATCAAGATCTTGAGAGCATTCGCTAGTAATGGAAATCGATAGTAAATGCCTGGAGGTTATCTAGAATTATATACCTCACTTTAGAAATCCAGCCATCTGATTGGTCAAAATTGGAGTCGGGATTTTAGCCATTCCCGTAATATTCACACAAAAAAAACGGTCAATAGTCTTTTGAAAAAAGCCCTAGGGCACTTTTTAAAAGACTATTTGACCGGTTTTGGAATCTACGTATATGCGTGCAAACTCAATGGGAAGGATTTTAGCACACAAACTCTAGTGGTGCGCGATCATACACCCTGTTAAGTCTCGATAGCGTAAACAAACTTGGTTACCATGATTGGTAAGTCGCACATGTATTCTATGACCCTTTTCGGTATATAAAAGTTATAAAGACTGCTTTAATATTCGAGGCATAGTTGTTTTTATAGGCTCTCGGGGAGGTTACATGATCGTGCTATCACCCCTCGGCGTCATAGTAGTCATTGTTATTATAATATTACTTTGCTTATGAATGATTATTAAATTAAAAACACTCAATAGTTTAACCTGTTAAATCGGCTGGTTTACTGCACAGTTTCCTGCCAAAGGTCACCAAAACTGGGTCATCATCCGGATCAATGCTGACCTCTGCGCCGGGTTCAACGCACTCTGATCTATTTACAGAGGCACAGTCTGGCCCACTGTATCTCCTTTGTATGATGACGCATATTTCTACCAGGGATTGGTTTGCCTTTGGAAATGTTAAGATATGTTTCTGTTGGTCCCATATGGTCGTTATGCCTATAAGACGAAACAAAGAAACAAAAACACAGGGAATTATTACAGTGTCATTACAATTTTGTTCATAGAAAGAGAGACAGAGAGTGTGAAAGTTTTATAATCCACATCATAATTTAATGTGGTACGCATTCTCTAAGATTCGTTTAATTAGATTCATAAACACATAGTCTTTCAATTACTGTAGACATACAAGATTTAAGCTAAACATAGAAAGAGAGACAGAGAGTGTGAAAGTTTTATAATCCACATCATAATTTAATGTGGTACGCATTCTCTAAGATTCGTTTAATTAGATTCATAAACACATAGTCTTTCAATTACTGTAGACATACAAGATTTAAGCTAAACATAGAGAGACAGAGAGTGTGAAAGTTTTATAATCAACATCATAATTTAATGTGGTACGCATTCTCTAAGATTCGTTTAATTAGATTCATAAACACATAGTCTTTCAATTACTGTAGACATACAAGATTTAAGCTAAACAAAAGAAAATTGTTGTTCTGTTTGCTCCGTTTTTGTATCCCTCTACATATTTATGCTCTGTCAAACTTAAGTTAAACATGTCAGAACTAGCTATTCATTCATCGTACTGATCAGGGTGTTACATCCCACAAGTAGTTAATGAATAAAACAAATGGATTAAAACGAATTTCCTCATACAAATAACCAAACACAGAAGAAAACGAAAGGGATTTCTTGACGATAAATTGTTGGTCCTTACCATAGCTCTCGGGTTGCAATGCTGTACAAGACCCAAACAAGGAAGCATGAATAAGAAAGAAAAGAAAAAAAGCTATTATTCAGTGGCGTTTGATAAGTGGTTTTAATTCTCACAGGGTTGCTGTATGTAGTGTTTCATTTTCAAATAAAATAAATGGTTTTAAATAACTCTGTAAAGTTATACACTTGAAGTATTAAGTATCAAGTATAGTATAGATTGAACGGGCTGGGGATGAAAATGACACTTTGATTATAGTGCAACACTGTCATAAGCCTTAGATTTTATGTGTTACTATTATTTTGTCCGACCATTACCAATAATTGCAGCATTACAAAATGAATAAACACCTATAACTGAATCAGTGGGCATATGAATGATTAAAACAATTATGACAATAAAATTATACAATAATTCTACTTCCTATGATAAAACTTCGATGCATTCTGTATAGTTGAGGTCATAAAATTACAGTTTCGAATAAGATGTAATGTGTATTTATTAGAAAAAGACGTTCTTATCTAGGGGGTGAGGCAGTAAGGTTATACTGAAGACTTAACTTTATATAAAGAGATATATTAACAAATTCTGTCCCCTTTCTTAAAAAATGCCAGAGAAAACTTTCTAGACAAAAGAGAGAGAAAAAAAAAGATATGCATGAATAACATAAAGTGTACCTAAAGAAGAAGACGTTTAATAACAGTTAATGCTAATTGTTTTTTCGTGGATGAGCAAATATTAACCATCTAGAACCCAAGAAAACCTAAAACTACTATAAATGGATGCGTATGCATTCATAAAAGCAAATGAAGTAGAAAATAATGCGTTCAGTATAACGAGACATGTGTTTTTATTTAGCTAGTGAGGATAATTACATTCAAACGTCAAGAAATGTAGAAATTCTCGTTATTCAGAAACTTACGAGTTGTCGAAGCTATTGTTGTCACTGTGCTACTATTCCCCGCGATGTTCACAGCCCAAAGAGTCATCCGGTACCATGTGAATGGCACCAGTCCCACCAATGTGTGGGAGGTTCCCGTCAAGTTTGTGACCACACCACACCCCTCTTCTTGCGTGTCGTGTGGACAGTATTGCAGATTGAACGTTTGTTGCAACCCGCCACCGAATCCTGGTTGCCAGGCAACAAAGAGAGTTGAAGATGTCGTCTGGTTTTGGTCGACGAAGAACCAAGAAGGTGGATCTGGGATAACTGTAGGCGGTGAAAATGGATTTTAAATTATATATTATGTAATAAGCTTTATTTTTAAAGCGCAGACACTAAGTTTTGATAATATTGTGTAAACGTTCTAATAAGCAACAATTCGGTTTTGATGTCATTAAGCATGAGTTTGTTTTACAGTATCCACCCACAAATATAATCAACACATGCTTATGTTGTCGAAATGCTTCCGTCTGGAGCAAGTACACACAAATATGTGTTTCCCCTGCATGGCAGTGGCATGATATGGCATATATTGTGGATAAAAGAGAGGATATTATTGAGGACCGAGCCGAGACCCTTGCGGGACCACAAAGGGTACTGAAAAAGCATCGGAGACAACATCATCAATATTGTTAAAATGTCTAATGGTTAAAATGGGAAGCTGCATGTGGATTTTTAGATTGTCTTGTATTCAATAATTCATGTTCCAAATAGAAATAACGATGTAATGAAATGTTCAAACATGAAAACTTGCGTTTATATACTCACTGGAATAGTTCAAACTCGCAGTGGCGTTAAATGTTTATGTGATTGCAAACTTTATTAAGGTGAAAATAATTAGCTACTACATTCCAATAAGACCCCAGGAAGGGGTGGGAAATAACAACAAAATCATACCTCATCATTTTATTTCTGTTTTCTTATTTTGCTTTTACCAATTCCAACTCCCCTTGTCAGATGGAAGTGGGGAGGCGCTTTATGCCCCCTAATTCTCGTCTGAGAGGAAGTATTCGAATAGCTCATCTAGAAAATGAGCTGGTTAACTACACAGTCCCCTCTCTGAGGTCACAAAAATCGGATCAACACCCAAAGGCCGGAATTAGGCATTGCGATTAAATAAACTCTTCCAGTATCTGACGGTCAGGGCCTATAAAGCGCTGTAGACCATGCATTCTCCTTCAGATACACTGGCCCGCATTTCGACTGCTGAGGGTCTATATGCCTGTTCGAACTTATTAGATAAGTTGACAGTAATACCTATTCATGAAAGATGGGTTGGCGTCATCAACATATATAAATACAATGAAAACACTCTTCCACTCACCAACAAATGTGGAGTTGAAAACTGCACTACTAGAACCAAAGCTTGAAACAGCAATGCATTTGTAATCACAAGGAAATTCAGCCAGGGGGTTTCGAATCGCCACTTCGCTTGAAGTCAGCGTTTCCCCTTCGGTTATAGTCTCGGAGAGGGTTATGTTACGGGTATTGTTAAACAACTTTGTGCCGTTAGAGAACCATTGGAAGATAAAAGCAGGAGGATTGGCGTCTGAGTTACATGTCAACACGAGCCCAGTAATTTTTCCTTTTGATGAAAGTCGTCGAGAAGAAACGAACACAACTGGGTCGTCTAGATTATAGAAAAAAAGCATTGAAAATTGGTTTTAGTAAGAGGTGATAAAAAGCGAGGAATGTATATGGGATGTGGATGGATAGGGATGAACTAGGTCTATTTGGGGTGAGACTGAAGGAGACTATTTTGTCTTGTCAATGACATGCGGGGGGAAAAGATGAACATAAAAGTATAGCCTATTAGGCCAAATAAAAGTAAAAAAAACATGTTCAGCGTCCTGTTTTTTTCGAAAAATAGGAAGGAGGAGGCCCTTTTTTTTCTTTTTTTTTTCCTTTCAAAATGGCCGCTCAAAATGGCCGCTCGGTACATTTTCCCTGACAGTCGGGCTATTTTTTAAAATGGCCGCCGACATTTTTTTTTATTTTTTTAAATCAGAAATAAAACCATTTTAGCAGTGTTTTACATGTTTTTTTTCTTAAACAAAAAAAATAAATAAATAAATCAAAAAAAATTCAAAAAAAATTCAAAAAAAATATAGGAGGCGGTCCCAAAAAAGGAAGCGGGCGGGGACGCTAAACATGTATATTTGTTTACATGGCCTTACTTTGACTGGTCGTTGTTTGTAAGATGGGAAGACGGCAACCCACAGGGGACATGTGTAGTATTTCCATAATTTTTTCGTTAAATTTTTGTTGTTGAAATGTGTAGAATCAAAAGGAGAAAATAGGAGTCGAAGATTCTCGGGAATCGTTGATGAGCGCATAGACCAATATCCTATGCAATTTTAAGAAAATCTCTATTATAATATCCTTTCAAAAGTTTTTACTGAAAAGTTAATACTCACATGATATGTTCAGGACCATATACTATCATTCACTGACCGCATAGTGTGTGTTGTAGATTGAACTGCCTGACAGAGAAGAGGTTTCCCATGATCAATCCTCTTTGGTATGAGGGTATAGGGTAAGGTCGGCTCACTTAACTGACATCAGCACCTCCGTGATTAAATTGTTTCCACTTCGAGGTTTTGAAGGGAAAAAATGAATATTTGTTGTACTTGGCATGCATATCTTACCTTGAACATTCAGTTGAACTGAGCGTTGCAAATTATTTTGTAGCTGTGGATGTGATGCCACACAGCGTAGACTCTTTCCTTGATCATTCCTAGAGGGCGTGATTGTAACATCCTTCCGAGAGAAATAGATGCTGTCTCGTACGACATCAGACTGATCCTGAAGAACGACGGTTACGTCATCTCGTATACGCCATTCCATTACTACAGGAGGTCTTGCCGAGTCTGCTGCACATGTGAAGTTATACGGCTCACCAGCATATACTGTTATATTCGCGTTGTTAGGGTAATAATAACCGGTCGATCTCTTTTCCTTGATAAAGATCCAATAGGGCGCAACTGATGTCAAAAGAGGGAACAGTCACGATGAATGAAACTCAGTTCAAATTGTACTTTTCCACTCTGATAGTCTACCTCCATGTAATTGAATTACTAATTGCGCTTACCATCGTCTTTTAGGTTTGCTACTTAAAAATACACACTTCATCCCTTCACAAACAATATTTGGTGTGATTATAAGTTAGTTTGTTGCCGAATATAATTTAGAGACTTTTGGAGTAGAACATAATCATAATTCCAAATAAAATAGCAAATGAGATTAAAAAGACATTTTAACAAAAAGCAATATGCTAAACATTACTTGTATCAACAACTTCCATTTAAGCTCTGTTTCTGCAAGACTATCGAAGAGCTTTATTTTTCAATACTAAATTCGGGATGTGAATACTATTTATTTACCTGCAGGTAATGGCGTCACTTGCATGCCAGCTGATCCTGTATTCGCTGGCCCATCTGTAACACTTACAGTGCATTGGTAAAAGTCTCCATCATTTTTGCCAAGTTGTTTTATTGTTAGATTCACACTGTAATAGTCTGCTGACAAGCTGTATTTCGCTTGGCCAAGAATAGTAAAGCTACATGAAAGATATTCCTGACAGTCGTGAGAGGCTAGTGTATTAAGACCACCACTTCTTTCCCAAATTACAAGTCGATTCCTGATTTGTGGCGTGAAGGAACAGACCAGTGTGAAATCTTCCCCTATGACTGGTAAAGAGTTGCCCGTACGAATCGAGACTTCAAATGCATGGTATCCTATATGGGTGAAATTAAACTTAATTCAAGGGAAGGAAACCCAGGCAATTGCAAATAGCATGCAGCAAATACAGTGGCGTCGAGTGAGCCGACCCACTTAAGGAGTCCTTGACCAATGGGGGACAGGGCGCCGGCCTTACTCGGCAAATGAAAAAAATGCGAATATATTTTCGAGACTACTGAGGTGCTGATGATGTTTCAGTCGTCTTCTTTTCTTGTCCTTTTCCCCTTCTTTCTTTCTCTTCTCTTTTATCTCACTGTTTTTCTTTCTTTCGATTGATATTCACTATTGGATGAAGGGGGTGCCCTTCCCCTGTAGCTTTCTCACTGTCCAAATACATTTACTGTTAAACACATTAACGATGAATGACAATAACCCAACATTCACAGTATATTAATTAATCGCCCTGAATAGTCTGTAACAAGTGTTTGCAATACAAAGCAATGCCTTAATAAATGAGATGTACGATAAAGATCTGAGTTTGTACAATTCCTTGTATAATTTAGCTTTACGACCCGGTTTGTTACCGATGATCTGAATTGTTATAACATCGTAGCGATTCAATAATAATAATAACAATACACCACATTTATTAGGCGATTAATACGGATGTTTCTAAGCGCACCATGGTCTGACTAAGATTACCAACCAAAACTTATAATAATATAATTTATTCAATAAATCATGCATATATATAATTATAAAAATTAAAATGAGATCAAACATAAGGTCAAACATAAGATCAAACAAGGAATAAGATGGTGTGCACCTCCTTTGAACGACTCACAACTGTAGAATATCATTCCTGAATTAAATAGGTGCGTTTTCAGCAAGGACTTAAACTGGTCAAGGGAATGAGTATTATGAATATGCGCTGGTCATATTCCAAAGGATAGGGGCAATTACTGAAAAAGCTCGATCGCCATATTTTGTAACAGAACGAGGTCCAAGGGTTAACTGCAAGGTTGATGATGATCGAAGAGGTCTTAAATAACTAGAAGAACGTAAGGAAATCAAATCTGAAAGATGTTTAGGGGCTTGGCCATGGAGAATTTCGTATGTCATAAGAAGAACTTTAAATGTTATACGTTGGTGTATGGGAAGCCAATGAAGAGAACGCAATATTGGGGTTATGTGCTCAAATTTTCTCGAGAGCGTAACAAGCCTTGCAGCAGTATTCTGAATTGTTTGAAGTGGAAGTAGATATGAATGAGGAAGGCCAGAAAAAATTGAATTACAATAATCAAGGTGGGAGGATACAAAGGCATGGGTAAATTTTGCAGTTGTGGGTCGGTGAAGTAGTTTCCTAATTTTCCTAATTTTAAGGATTCCAAAAGATGCAGATTTACAGACGTTTTTAATATGCTGCTGAATTGTAAGATTTTTGTCGATTAAAACACCAAGGTCTCGGACGTATTCACTACCATTTAGTTAACATTCTCCGGTAACCGAGTCAGGGAAAGAATCGGTGTTTCTGAATTTGGAGGTAATGTGGATCATTTCAGATTTTTGTTCATTAAGGCGAAGTCTATTGTTAAAAGACCAGAACCTAATTTCTTTCTTATTTATGTACAACCTTCATTTAATCAAAAGAGTAGGACAGAATATGACATATAGAGCGTTTGAAAATTATGATCCAAGGACTATGTATCAATCAATATATTACTTTCAATTTTTGTGGCATTCATTACGTTCAATACACCTCTCAAAGTCTTATCTAGGGTAAGTACACCTACACTTACAATAAAAACATAACATCAAACTTACCAGCGTGGGAATTGGTAACTGCAAGAAAAAGAAAAACTTCTGCGCAAATCAAGATCATCATTCAGTCATCATATCTTTCCAATCAAAGAAATACTATTTTACAACTCTATCCAATAATGTACTCTATGATTATGAAAGCAAGGATATGGCAGAGAATTCCTGATGAAAGCAGGCAAACAGTATGAAGGGAGCAAGACGATGTTTTTAACGAGATTTACGATATATTGCAGGATTCGAAGGCGAAGTGCTGTTTTTACGTTGAAAGTGAAACAAATATCATGATGGATGCTTGCATTATTATATTTCCTTCTGCCACGGTTTAGTTTCATAAACTTCACCAAAGCATCGATTTCAAATGAAAATAATTATGTTATAAATGATTAAACAAAAGGGGCGCTCGCTCTCTTCAGACATTGTGACGAAATTTCCTAAAATTGGAAGGTATCAACAAATATTCATTATACAAGTTTTCCATAGGCTTTTGATTTCAATGTAGCAACTTATATTTAGCGCGTAAGATACCAACATTTATCGTGGTTTTTATTCACTTAATTGAAAAGTTCCAATAAAAAAAAACAGGAAGCAACGTATTTATTTCACTATTCCTAGACTACAAAGAGTAAATACACTAACGAAATGAAAACGATAGGTGGCGTAGTAATTGAGAAGAAGTCAGGCTACTTTACTGAACACATTAAGGGCATCAATTATTGTGCTATGCTCATCACGACAACGATGTATAATAGATGAGCAAGATTTTGTTTGTCATTTTACTTTGTAAACTCCATGCAATTTAGCCTCTGGGCTGCCATGTGTATATTTGTTTTCAAATAAATACCATTGAAAACAAATAGATAGAAAACAAAATGTATGGATTGGGATATCGGAAACTAGTTCCCTTTTTTCTGCAGAGATAAAGTGGCAAGTAAGAAATGCCCAATTCGATATTCTGAACCTCCCCCGACACACACGCACACCCTCACACACACATCAGCCCAGTCTCAATTCCCCATCTGCATAAATCTCTTCCTAATACATTTCCGAAGCACACACAATCCCACCACCACACAGATATATATATATATATATACACACACACACGCACGCACACACAATCGCACACACATACGCACACGCACGCACACCCACACATGTACACAGAAACGCAATGGATATCCGTTAGATAAGAGTACAAGCAATAATCTGTTTATTTCATCCATCATGTAAGCAATAATATAGAAAAGATAAATCCCTAAATTTCAAATGAGTAGCGAGTGGAATAGAGTACCTTTACCGCAAAAATAGCTAGACAAATATCTCTGCAACGATCATAGTATTAATCTCATCACCACTAATAACAATAAAACACAATTAATAGACATATTTTATCTTGAATATGCAGTACTACGAAAGACCTGTCTCACATATTTTCTGTATCATCACTATTATCAAATACATGAATAAATCTGTTCTACAAGAAAATGTACTTGAAGAGCAAGTGCCAAATCATATCAAAGACGACCAAAAAAACATGAAAAACTGTTGATAAGTTTGTAAGCATTTCTTTTCGTGTTGATTGAAGAATAACTTTATTTTCTAGAGTTGATGTTAAAAAACATATCTTACAAGACATCTACAGCATGGCATACTGAAATATATGAGAGATAGATATATTCTAATGCATGCAGGTACATGCATGTACGGTGAAGAAGGTAGGATGTAATTATGGAAGGCATTTTCAAACCACATGAAATTACGATTAATGATCAAAAGATTCGTGGAAACAATACTCGGAGAGAGATGAAATATTGGATGAATGTTTTTCATAATTTTTCTTTAAACAAAATATTTTCAATCAACCCATCTCTATTTATTCTCAAACTTCCTTTGTCATCTCCTGCCTCTTTTTCTTGGGACCATCTAACTAACATAAAATGATAATTATGGATTATTTTCGAGTACAAAATTCCAAGTTGAAAACCTGCATGGAAATATATAGGATAAGAAAATATGATGCGTGACAACTACAAAAATATATAAAGCTGTATGATAAAGTAGGCAAATTAGGAATAAAATGTACATCTTGTTTAAGTATATGAAAACCAAACTATGCCTTAGTGCGTCAAACGAAACAACATTGATTTGAGAAAATTTATTTCAAAACGGATGTAAATGTATATCGTTCAATAATCGTTCGGATATCATACACAGAAATCAACTTCAATTACATTTACTATTCTTCTTATTGATCAATGGAACGACACCCATATTAGGAGAAGTTAGTCATGGCATTTTCTTCCTGATTAGTATTTGGCAGTACTGCATCTTGCATTAAATGCATATCTTTCTCAATCAATGAAAACTGTTGGATCTTTCAGCCTTATAAACTCTTCAAAACATTAGTTATCACATTCAAGTTTGAGCATTGATTTACCTCTTGTTATAAAACTTGAAACTGGTATCATTTGAAAGCTTGCTAATTTTCCTTTACAATGATGCCCCATTTTTGATGATTTATGGAGGGTTTTTTTCATGATATAGAGGCAGCCAATATTAATGGATTCTGCAGCATTTCAATTTTGACTCGGGCCCCATATTTGCTAGAACTTAAATTGAAGATATTTTTTCAATTTTTTTTTGTTTTATACATGTACATGTATCTTCATGGCAATTTTCCAACTGCAAAGACAATTCAATGAAGAACAGAAAATAATGATATTGCCATTTTGAAATATGATCCATCCATAAATTTAACACTTTTAGCTCTTTTCATTCCAATTCCACCAACTTTAAAAAAAAAAAAAATTCCCTCTGTATCTTTGTCAAAGTCAAACCCATATTACATGTATAAGCGCACTTCATAATTTTTGGATAAGCTCTCTGTAATTTTTTTGTTTTTCAAATGTAAGCCATAGTGTCGAATCTTACTCTCTGATTACATATTAGTGGATTCGATGAGCCTGTATCTCTACAGTGTACGATGGTCTTTATTGATTGCTTGATCTAACCCAACATGAAATTATTGCTTTAACATAAACCACTCTTTCAAGATTTTTTACAATTCTATGTGAATTCAGAGATACTTCTCTCTTAAAGATATCATACTGATCTTGAGCTTAGCAGTACAACTTGCTCACTTTCTGGGTAATTATAATTCCCACCAAAACACATTATTGTTTTTCTTATCATCATATATCAATCAAATGAAAAATCTCACTTTTTTATAAAAAAATCTGTGTACATACACGTATTTACATAAATCATGAAGAAAAAAAATGTATCTCAAAACAAACAATAACATGAAATATAAAGTATAACAACCAAAATAACATGAATAACACAATAAAGACAACGCAATTACACTTCAAAGTCAAAACAAAAATTAACAAAGACAAGAAATCTATTAACATTCCACACAAGGTAGTACTTTTGATTGTTTATCTATATAGAAGTATCCTATACATCTTTAGCTTCCAAACACAGGGATGTCTATTAACGTACGTGTTTTCAATTTTTGAACAATATTGTGTTGTGTAAATGAAATTGTTGATATAACTGAAATATGCCAATCCCATTTTACCGATGAAAATAAGCTGTGTAGCTGTAAGAATTTTTTTCTGTTGTCCCATATATTGACAATTTTGTATCCATCCAATGACAATATACAGGAATGTATTTTATATACCCCATGTATGTGTATGATTGGGATTTAAACGATGCGCGATAATGTAGAGCAACTGACCAGTGATCATTATTCAGTGCTTCTTTCATAAATTTGGTTAAAAATGACTGCCAAATTTGACTGCTCTTACAAAATCTGTTTAATCAATGGACTTCTGTTTTGTTTAATACAGTTCTTTTGAAACACAAGAGTACTAGGAACAAATGTTCTTGGACCGTTCATTATGTACATACTAGACGCTGCAGAAAAAAATGAAATGAATAATGGCACAAACTTTTCTAAATTACACAAGAGTCTGATTAAATATACAGGTGTGTCTTTTTTACCCTCATCCAACTACAAGGCATGAAAATGGTTAAGATATGAAGGCAAAAGGGCACTACTTTGATAATAGTTGGAGCTTAAAGGACACAAGTCCATCTGATAATGGAACATATTGTCAAATGTCTACAACACACAATATGATAATGATACAGATAACGAAAGAGTATGCAGTACACCACTGATCTATGTAGTTTAAATGACAAACTATATACATGTCATATTTTTACGAAATTTGTTCTGTTATGTTTACAGAGACTGCATCTTGATGACCTTAGAAACTCCTTTTATCTACACAAATTTATGAAAAACGCTGCATGGTATATTAGTACAATTAAACACAGTACAAAATAGAGAATCTGAAACATTTATCTAGAGAGTACTTGACGATATGCGGTAGTGCTCTTTGGTACTACGCATAACTCACTACCACGTTTATTTCCCATTTGGCTAAAAATAGAAACTCAGAGAACTGCACTTCTAGTACCAGACAAATAAGTACGTTTTCATGAAACAAACAAAATGAAATAAGAAACGTTACCAAAAAGAAGCTGTAACAAGAATTACAATGATACAATATTTATTTCACTATGAATGAGAATTAGGAATGTACTGATTTATCATTTTAAAAAAGATCAAGAAATATATATCTGTATCTCACAAAAAAGGGAAAAAAATATGAAAGCTTAAAATACACTGTCTAATTAGTCAACTCTCCCAGGTGAATGCACTCTAGATTTTTTTTTTTTAAAAGGAATACCTCAATCCACTTATTTCATAACTATCATTAGTGCAAATTCCTTCTCATCACAACAGAGAAAGCCATGCTCTGGGCCCAGTAGGATATGACTATTCAGGCAGTGTAAACAAACTTTTCCTGTATACTCTACACATATGATTTATACGTTTCAATCAAACAATCAATTCCTGATTAAATCTTCTTTTTTTCCAAGTTATTTCTTTGTAATTCAGGCAATAACAAGAGGCACGTCGTCTGAGAATCCACGAATCATCGGCTGGTCCTCATCAGATCCTAGGATACAAGAGAAAAATTGAAAAACAAAAGAAAAATAGGTATTAAATAGTTATTAAAAACCTTCATGATTATGTAAGAGTACCAAAGCTGTGACATCATAAAAATGTATTTTTAGAATTTCTCAATTTGAACTTCATTTTCCGAAAGAGCATCAAAAGTAATCTCCAAATGTTGAAAACTAATTGAATATTTAGTTTTGGCAGAGATATGACCATTCAAATATAAAGATTTCTTATAGGAACACAGTGTTATTTTGCTCTGGTTCGTAATTTCACACTTCACCACTCTATAATTACAGTTTACAACTAAATTATTCATACCCTCACCATTATATAAATATTTGAAAAAATTGTTTTCTCCCAAATTTATGTTCATTGAGAATGTGACATATTAAACCTTACATCTAAAAGTATTCAGAAAAAGGCCCTAACCGAACCAGTCCACCTTTTAATATTGAGTTACCAAGAAACAAACACAAAACAAGGGTATATGTCAAATTTGCAAGGGGTGTGAGTAATTTGGTAGTTAACTGTATGATGGCAAACATTCATATCTCACATGCAGGTTTTTGAAAGCTATAGCGGCTATCGTTCACAGATATATAAAGGATGATGGTTTAGGAATTGTCACTTGTAAAATCAGATGCTTTCATGAGGACAGTAATTTGGATTTCAACTACAACCGAGTGTTACAGAAGTTGAAGAATTTTAGAAATATCCAATTAAACATACAGTAATTTGTTTCTAGTCAAGATATTTATTCATGCTACTGAAAAAACAATCAAATATCCATAACATAAAATATATGAAATATGTTGGGCAGCATAACCACATACACATACGCATTAAAGGTACTATGTCCCATTTGCAGGCCAAAGAAATGAAAAGGTTAAATTTCAATGGCATTTGAGGATAAATACTAATTAAGAACTTCCCTAAAAAAGGGGGGCTTGAAAATGTCTTTAATGGGAAAATAACGACTAATAGTTGTCGAATCGAACTTAAAAGCTATAGAGCCAGTAAGTAATAGTCTTGATTTTCAGACCATTGTACCAAATGGTCGTACGTTTTATGCTGCGCAAAGATTCAATCAGTTTAATTTTGGCCATTACAAGAAGTGGGTTATTGATGTAGACAAATGCTCATGTACCCTTTACAGTTCATTTTATGTATGTTATTACCAAAGAAGAAAAAAGAGCCAGTTTATCACTCAATAGTGTCTGACAGGCTACCCAGCTTTACTGCGTTCAACAGCTCTATATGGTTTGCTCTTAAATTCCTTGCTGTTTTTACCGTTTTACCGGCTAATTCTGTATAATTTCATTATACATCAGTTGTGATATACTTAATACTACTACTGGAATGGTTTATCTTACATTTGGAACTTCACATGCGAGAATTTTGTCGGAAACATTCATGGAAATATGTCGGCTTCTAAAACCTCTGATGACAGCGGAGCTCCAGTAACTGGGTCCCGAAGTTACAGGGGGCAAATCAATCACAGAACGCCAAGGGACAAGAAGATTATCATCAACGAACTGAAGCCATGGAAACAGCAAAAATTGATGGAGACAATAGCCTCGATCTAGCTATTGAATCCAAGATTAAAACCGCAATATGTTCCCCCGAAATCCTAAATGCCCTCGTCGCTGCAGTGAAAGAAGCTATTATCGGGAAAGTTACTCAACAAGTGTACGCTGCACTGAAAATGGACATGGAGTCCAAAGAAAAAGAGACAAAGTTGGAGAAAAGGAAAAATGACAAGTTCGAGGGGAAAATCAACAGACTACAAGAAAAACTGGATGAGCATGAGCAATACAGATGACGAAATTGCCTGAGGTTCTATGGCATCAAGGAGACCCAGGGAGAAAACATGGACAAGCTGAAGTGTGACTTAGCTCGAGACCGTCTCAACATCGAGCTTTCTCCTGGCGACATCGACCGCAGCCATCGGATCACGCGGAGGAACCAGAACCACAACGGCAGCACAAAGGAAAAGAGCGTCATTGTGAAGTTCTCTACCTACAACATGAGGCAGAAGGTGTACGAGGTGAGGTCGAAGCTGAAAGGGAAGTTGATCTTCATCAACGAGGACCTGACAGGCGAGCGGCAACAGCTGATTTGCGCGGCCAGTAAGTCCAGCGCCATCGCATGGACATGGACACAAGATGGGAAAATATTCGCCATCACTGCTACGGAGAGAAAGCGGGTGATCATCCAGGATCTGAGGGACATCGATCGCCTTGGTTAGTCACGATAAATTGCATTGCAATGTTTTTATGGCATATTAATTAAATGCCTATCCATTATCCATGCATCACATGTGAAAGAACAGTAAGGAATAACCAAAACGCATTATTATCCGTAATTTGTTACAAAGACTTGATGATATGAATTGTGATTATGTAATACTTGGTGACATGAATTATAAATATACAGGCTGATACAAGAACCTGGCAAATAAACCAACTGTCAGAAATTTTTGATAGTTTTAATTTGTCCCACATTATTCTCCCACAAGAGCCACAAAAGATACTGCTTCTATATTGGACTTGATAATAACAAACAGACATGAGAAAATTGATAAATCTGGAGTCTTACCAATCTTAAACATTTTGACGTAAATGCTTACATTGCAGATGTAAAACAGATTAATTGGGATGATATTCAACAATGTAAAGATATGAATAATGCATACGATACCTTTATAGAAAGATTGATGGTTATTATTGAAAAAATGCACCTCTCAAGAAACTGAGAATAAGAAAAAAAGCAATCAAATATAAAAAAAGATGAAGACTGGACTGAATACAAATGTTTAAGAAATCAAGTCACTAAGAAAACTTGTAAAGCAAAGGCTGATTTTATTGTAAAGAGTGTTGAAGTAAGCAAAGGAAACTCTAAACAAATTTGGAAATCATTGAAAACTCTTATGCCGAGTAAGAAAGATAATGAAAATAATATTGTTTATAGAAGACCATAATGGCATACTGCAAAATAAAGAAGAAGTTGCAAATAGATTTAATAGTTTTTTTGGTAGATATTGGTGTATCAATTCAAGAGCAGAGATGTGAGAATTATAATTATGATGACCATGAACAATTTGTACATAATACGCCTGCAACATTTTGTCTTCAGTCAGTGAGTGATCAGTATGTTAGAGAGGTATTGATGAAGATTCCTGATGAGAAAGCATGTGGAAATGATAATTTATCAGAAACGTTGTTGAAACCAGTCGTTGAATATATATTGAAGCTGTTGGTGTATTTAATTAGATATTGAAAATCATTTGAATCAAGACTTACGGAATATTTCTGATTGGCTTTCATTAATTGGTTGGCACTAAATACAAAGAAATGTGAAACAATGCTAATTGGATCTAAAAAAAGAATTTGTGGAAAAAATGTAGATGTTTTTATTGATAACAAAAAAACTGAACCAGGTTACTGTGTTTAAATACCTTGGGGTATACATTGATAACTTGTTAGATTGGGATAAACATGTGAAACATTTGTGTAAAAGTACTGTGAAGAATTTGTATTTGTTAAAAAGAAGAAGACATTGCATCTCGCAAAAAACGGCATTACTTTTTTATAAGTCAATTGCTCCAAGTAAATTAGATTATTGTGATGTTGTTTAGAATAATATGAAGAAACAAAATATTAAAAAAAACTACAGATTTTACAAAATAGATTACTAAAAACAGTAATAAGAGTGGAAAATAGATACTCAACTAGACTTTGTATGAAAATTTGTTGTTAGGATACCCTAGTTGAGAGACGTAACAACCATGTTCAATGTATAATGTATAAAATTTCTAACAATCAACCCCGGATTATCTTTTAAGTAAATTTAATTTTAAATACACTTCCTATAGCTTAAGAAATGCTTTTTGTATATTTACTTTACCAAGAATTAAAACCTGCTTCAAAAAGAAAAGTTTAAGTTATTATGGTGCAAAACTATGGAATGAATTGCTGGTAGAAACTAAATATACACTTACTTACTATACTTTCAAAAGCAGTTTATAAGATTTGTTATATCATGTTTGACTTTTAATAGCAAACAAAAACAACTGATTTGTTTTTCTTCCATTTAAAACAAAAAAATATTCTTTTATATATATATTATTTTTTTCTGTTCGTATTATTTTTCTTAATTAGGGCTTGTTTGGATTTCTCGCCTTCTAACCTATTTGTTTATATATATGTGTATGTTTTATTTAACTTTGTATGTCAATCATGTTGATCTACAGTTACTTTGTAAAATTGTGATTGCTTTTTATATGCACAGCCATGCTGAAGAACAGCCATTGGCTGAAGTATGCCACCGTGCTAAAATAAAATAACAAACAAACAGACAGTGAAGTCTAAGAAGTAAATGGGTTTCCTTCATAATTTGAAAATTAGGACACTGCTAACGTTTAAATTTCACAGATAGAACATACAAGACATATTCATAATTCCTGCAAAGTTCTACAGAATTTGATGTTGGCTGCAAAAGGGACATAGTATCTTTAATATTCTTTTGAAAATGAATATGTGCAACTTTCATGCAATGCTGTGCATGTGTACTGCCAATAGAAGATAAGAATTAAGGTAACTCTATAAAACAAAAGGGTGGAAATGTCTAAAATATAAAATGCTACAAGATTCCTGAGGTTAAGTTAAACAAAATGATGGGCAATATACAGAAACATGTAACTTGGAACAAATCAATATGTACAACATAATGCAAGAATAAAAAATCAATTTGGGTAAGTCAGCATGTAAACGTAATATCAAGCAGCAAATAAATCGATTGAAATAAAAAGATACAGAGTGAAATAAAGTATACAGCATAACCAATGGTGGAATGGGAGCCGTCTACGTAAATATCACTAGGCTGTCACGAGAACATCACAGAAGATATCATTATCATTTCTCTTCTGAATTTCAATGCCATGCTTGGGATGGAATTATTCCTGAAATTAGTTAATGAAGAAGAAGAATCACACGGAAACAGACAATTTAAAGTCGAATGTGAGAGTGTGTGACACTTGTAAGGAGCTGCTACCAATCCATAGACCATAATTTTGTCTTCCCCCTGATCAGTGTTGCAACTATTAAACACTTGAAGAAATGTGGAAATCTAGAGGTGTTGTGGTCTCGTGGCTACGTCACCAGAGTGTGGAGCACATGGTTCATGGTTCAAGTCCTGCCAGGGCACTTATGTCTTTTGGCAATAAATTTCTACAGTTTCCACACACAAAAAAAGTTAATGTGGTTGGATTGGCATGTGAGGGGTTGTAAAATGGCGCTTGATCAGAATATTTCACCACCATTATCATTACTATTATTAGTATTACCAGTACTTTTACTATCATCTTCACTTTTAATACTATTTTAATTACTAATATCATTTTAATTATTATTACTATTATTGTTGTCATCTTTTGTTGCTTCTCACTAAATGCTTTTACGGTTTACTGATACTGTGAAACCTGTCTCTAAAGACCATCCAAGTGGTCTTTAAAGCCAGGTGGTCTTCAAATACAAGTTCCTTTAGTACATGTTTTAATGAGAAACCATTTTCAAGAGAAACAAAATGTGGTCTTTGTAGACAGATGGTCCTTGTAGACAGGTGGTCTTTCTAAACAGGTGGTCACTAAAGCAGGTTTGACTGTGCAACAAAAAAACTAAATGTACAATCTACATCTTGAGCAATAACATACCACATATATTAGGAACGATAGTTCTTTTTCTGGGGGAGGGGGAGGGAGAGGGGAGGGGAGGGGAGGGAAGGGAAGGGGAGGGGAGGGGAGGGGAGGGGAGGGGAGGGGGAGGGGAGGGGGCAGTATACTGTGTATACTGTAACATAACTATAGAAAGGTGCAAGCAAAGAGGGGAAGTGAGCGTTAAAGGGCGACAGTCACAGAATGTCTTACCTTGAAGTTCAGCTAATAATTCTGATAGAGGGCAGCAAAGTGAAAGTTAAAGTGAAAGGGACGAGAATGAAATGAAAATATTATCCTACAGTTCAATGTTAAAGTATGGGGGGGGGGTGCCTTGATCTTTGTTCCGGTGACAAATGCTCCAGGGCCCTGTTTCACAAAACTTGATATCATAACAAGTTACAAGTTATAAAGTAGGCTTGCGGGTGCACCATGTGAGAGAGAGAAAGAGGATTGAGGAGTCCTGGAAAGGACTCTGACTCGGTGATCTTTCTTGGGGATGTGTAGTCCTGAAAAGGACTGTTTGTTATCTTTCTTAGCTTATAGTTCTAAGGAGAACTATAGCGATTGGAGAGGATGAGTGGCTCGATGTTTCGAACAGGTTGACTATTCGTCGTCAGGAGTGATGGTGCACCCGCAAGCCTACTGTATTTCTACATCACCATGCAAGTCGACACTTACAAGCAGCATTTAAGTTACAAGTTGTTATAAGCTACTGAAATTAAGGCATCTGATTGGCTGACAACAAATTCATCATAGAAATTTGTTACAGATAAAACGTTTTATGAAACGGGCCCCAGGGGAGTGCTTCACAAAGACTAAGATCGACTTTAAGTTGGACTTAACTATGGCAAGCCGTTCACGCCACTATTTTATCTCATCATTTACTGGTATTGGTTTCTCAAGGGACGTATCAATCGCGGTCACAAATCTACAGAATTTACATTTTTGATAGTTCATTATTGAAGGAAAAAACATTATCCAAAGATCATAATTGAGAGACCAATGGCATGCCATAATTAAGTCCAACTTAAAGTCGATCTTGGTCTTTGTGAAACACTCCCTAGGCTTTATTTGGTCAAAAGCATACGGTAAACGTTACCAATCACCTTTTAAAAAACAAATCACTTGCGTGCATTTAGTATGTATAAAATGAACCTCAAAAACTCATCAGACATTCTACATGTAAGTACTAACGGATAAGAATAAAGAAGAAAATAAAGGATAACACAAAACCCCCCACACAGGTCAAAAGTCAGACATGACCTCTGTGCGGGTCCTCTTTTATTTATTTTTATACTCATACAGGCGCATTAAGTAGTCATATTTATGTTAATTGAGAGTGTATTTAAACTCAAAATCTTTTTACCAAAGTAATATTTAAAGCTCATATTTTAATTATAGTATCATGACATGGAACTACTTTTAATACATACTGTACAGAGCAAGATATATTTTGGTGAAATTTTGGTAATAGGTACACTTTAAGGTTAGGGTTACATAAATTATGTTTTAGGCTAGGTTTAGGTCGAGGGTCACTTGTATAGTGTTGGGTTGAGGACAGAAGAATTTTTTTTTGTTAATGTAGGAAATTATCGCGGAGCATTTGTCACAGGAAGAAGTGACATACACCTGACAATGCCGTACGATCCAGGGTTAAAGTTGGGAATTTTGTTAGTGTAGGAAATTGACCTTGACCAATTCTCACAGGAGCACGTGTAATACAACCAGCAATGGTATATGGGTGGCAACATGATTACACAGCCCGATTTGCTATACTCTTGCAGGGCATAGGCATGATGGAGAGCGTTGGGTCCCCGGCAAAAGATCTATGCTGCAAATATCCCATTGTGTGGATATATAGGTGTTGCCTTCTCTTTATACAAAAAGTTATAATATCAAAGAATTTTCATCCTTTACTTGTTTAAATTCAATAAAAATATAATGGTATGGAAGACTTCAGTCCCAGACACGGGATTCCCTGTAGTCAAAATCTGATTGTAAAAGGCAAACCCTAAGAATTTACTCACCCAAGTCTGTTAGATCATTGTGTTAAGTAAATACTCAATAGAAACTGGTTAACGATTCTTCAGTCCCACACATAGATTTTCCTGTGAGTAAAATCTGATTAAAGGTTTTCTTAGCGAAGTCGCTAACACCCTTCAGGGATACATCAATGAATATACAATGGAAAAAAATTGCTTCAGGCCCACACATAGATATTCCTGTGGGTAAAATGTGATGAGGAAGGCGCACCCTAAGGATTTACTAACCTAAGTCTCCACCGTCATCATCATCGCTCGTGGCAAACGTGGCGGTTCCTGATCGGGTGTCGTAGTGACTGTTGGCAAAGGACATGAAGCTCTGCTGAAGTCGACGATGTCGGACGGCGAAGTAGACCACGATGACCATGAGGACGATGACCACGATCCCAACGGCGACGCCGGCATATAGGGCTTGGTTCTTGGAGAGGGCCTTTGGAGGCGGAGCAGCTTTTTTGTTTAAAAAAAATAACAAAAAGTTGACTGTGAGCTTTCCATTTCACATTTCCATTTTAAATCATCGTTTTCGTTATGTTCTTGTCTCTTCCTCTTTCTCCATCTCCTCCTCTCTCTCTCTTTCTCTCTCTCTCTCTTTTCTCTCTCTCTCTCTTTTCTCTCTATCTCTCTCCTTCTCTATTTCTTAGTATATATATATATATATATATATCTTCTCTCTCTTCCTCTTTCTGTACTTAATCTATCTCTCTCCTTCTATCTACCATCTTTTTCCGATAATTCTTGTATTTCTCTTCCCTATTTCCTCTTTTTTTTACTTTACCATTGTCTATTTTTTTCTTTCATTCCTTCCTTTTCTTCTTCTCTCTTTCTCCCTCTCTCTCATTTACCAGTCCCTATGCATCCAGATCTACCGAACGAGGTTTTCGAAAGCCTGTCAAATATTTCAGTTTCTTCTCTTTCTTAAATAATTTAAAATCTGTTCATGAAAAGTAAGAGCAAGAAAGAGCTAACTCTACATCTGTCTGGCAGGCTATCCCCAGAATATTGGAGTATCGAAATTGGAACATATTATGGGTGTGAAAAGGGAATGATTGTATGGAATTAGGAATGAGTATATGCAGGATAATTGGTGTTATAAGATGATGACGTGGATCCTAATCAAAAGATTGGTTGAGAACGTACACATGACCAGGCATTTATTTTGCCTAACGCGTAATTTGGATAATGACCGGTCATTAGTAAAATCATGTTTTAAAATATTATTTTATAAAACAAATAATACACATCATTTTGTTCAGGCATTAGTAATATTACCCACACTCGGTACCTTCAAAACAGTCCAAACACTGTGGGTAATTCTTACTAATGCCCTCACTGCTGTGTATTATTTGTATAATATACCTTGATTCTCGGTGGCAGTTTGGAGAGGCACTGTTTTGCCATAGTATCCCTTATACTGGTCAACACTGATCATCACAGCATACAGGTCAGGATCAAGGTCTGCAAATAAAATGGAAGAAAGAGGAGATAAGATTTAATCAAAAAAAGAACCATTATAGGGCTAAATTGGCTTGAGTGGATTGAAATGGATAGGTTATGTGTTGAGAAAGAAAAATTATGTATTATTTCTTCTTCTTCCATTTGAGTACATCCCTCTTTACAAAAACATAAGCACATGAAAGTTTTCTTATTTCAAAGTTGTGGTAAGGAGCATGGACGGCCTACCTTTTGGAAACTCATAGTGATAAGACGATATTCCTCCTGTGATGGTCCAGAGAGAGATGTTCTTCTCCACCTTTCTTAGAGCATCTTCCGGTATTAGTTCTACATCTGTCTGACCAGGGAACACATCTTTCATCCTTAGCAGATAAACTGCAAAGCCCTGTAAAACACAATAGTAGGAATTTAATGATAATCATAATAAGAACGCAAATAAATGTGCTACAGTATTAATTCTAATGATGATGATGAGGAGGAGTATGATAAATGATAATAGTAATAGTAACAACAGCAACAACAATAGTAATACTAATACAAATTCTACTATTTTTATTATTATTACTTCTACTCCTCCCACTTCTATTACTACTACAACTATGACTACTGCTATTAGCTGTTATATTCCACATACTAAGAATCTTGCTCTACGATTGGTCAAAAGTAAATCATGTGATGAAAGATAGTTCGCCCATTATTGATGGGAGAAGCAAAAAGTTTGTTACACTGTGTAGATAGTACTACTATCTACACAGTGCAACGCACTTTCATTGAAGATAGAGGTACTATCTATACAGGGCAACGCACTTTCACTGAAGATTATCCAAAAGCGCACTAATACTGGCTCTTGGGGACGTTACATCCTGCTATGACCCCCCCCCCCCCCCCCCCCCCCCCGGCAGCCAATATTATATAAAAAATAATAGTTATATAATATGGACTGGCCTTGAGGGAGATACCACATAATATTTCCCAAACTATACTCATATTGCCCGAGTCAAAGACGAGGGCAATATGGGTCTTGTGAGGGCAATATATGTGGTATCTACCAAAAGTTAAGCCAGTCAATATTGTTATTATTATCCAAATCAGACATCTAGAGCAAATAAATACATGAAAATCTCATAGAACTGAAAAAACTTTGTCAAACCAGCACTGTGCATCCAGCTGCTTGACAACATTTTCGATACACTGCAAACAGTGTACCCAATTTGGTGTGATTATTACGTCACAATAGAGCGCGCGCAAAATGTGCAGGTTCTCGTACGCATAATAGATGTACATTGAATATGACACAATACGGCGCGGTGAATATGAGACTTTATTTCCTGCTTTTTTAACACGTAAAGTCCATAGGCTTTTTCATGAGATGGTAATATGGTCTCGTATTTACTGATTATCTCTTTTAGGATTACAACAAGTGTAATATGATTTTGTAAAACCACTGCTCAGATGTCTGATACGGATAATAATACAAAATAATAACTTACCAATGTCTTGTTCCAAGTTTCTTCCGGTGGTCCCCAGTACAAATGTATGACACCATTCTCTGCTAGAGCCTGGAATCCAGTCGGCTCTGAGGGAAGCTCTATATGCAGAAAAAAGGATACAGAGAGGAATACTTAAAGGCATCGTTTAACAATGTTAAATCTGAGATGCATGGCCCTACTTGTTATCAGTGTCTGTGATATGGTGTAATATTGCACTTCAAAATGATCATGAAGTGCCTCAAAAAAGTAAAAATCTTTGAGTGACCGGTTTTACCATACTCATTTTCCCCAATAGACTGTAGTGTAATCACAACTGTTAGGAAAACGATTTTTGAAATTTTGATTTCCAATCATAAATATCTTGATTATTAGACAGACGATCGGCTTGTAAAAGACATGGGGTTCCTGACTGACCTAAAGGTTTACAATTATGATTGCAGCATGAGCTAAATCCAGGATTTTGTTTCAGAATCTGAGACAAAGATCCAACCCAACCCCTTAAACGTTTGCCCTATCCCATACGAGTAAATAATTCTCCAAAGGTCTAATCCTCAATTTGGCAACAACTATTTTGATCGTTCACTCTTACAATCTTCAATACAACTAGAAATATATATCAACGGAACCTGGGAGTATTTCACACAGATCCTAAGTCAAACTCAACTCTAAGTTGGACATAATGGAGAGCCATTTGTAGCCTTAAAATAAAATACATTTAAAAGCAAAAATTGAAGTATTTTAGACTTTTCATTAATTCCCTATCAAGAACATGAAATCTCCTTGATAATAGAAAATATGAATGATTTGAATCAACACATTACAATAACTTTTACAAAATATTTTCAAGGATGCTAACGGCTTTCCATAATTGCTAAGTCCAACTTAGGATCTATGTGAAACACCCCTCTGCATGAATTTATTATGTGAATTATATATATATAAAAAATGCATGAAAGGAAATTGCCAATTTCTAGAGAAATCTGCGTCATATTCGACATTCCCCAAGGCAGACCTGAATACTTACATTCATTACCAATAAAAATCGTCATTTCACTCCGCTTACATTTTACATATAGACATCATATAACTTAACAAACAGAGATAGATGACATATTAACACAACATAAACATTATTTGATATTTTTCATTGGTTTGCATAATCAAGTAGAGAAAAAAGTGAAGTTCGATATGACGCAGCGAAATGCAGAAGAACGTTTGTTTCAAATTCTGTAAAAGGCTCCTGAAAAAGATGACCCTTTTTTTTTATTGCTTGTCAAAGACATTTTGAGTAGGTTGGTTAAGAAAATATGTTTTTGTTTTCTTAAAGGGTGTGAAGTACTCTACCCCCTCCCCCTCCCTCCCCCTCCCTCCCTTCCCCCCTCCCCCTCCCCTTATCGTGAAATCTTGAACCATCCCTGCATACTTACTGGTTTGAGCTCTTATTTCTCCACTGCTGACTGCTGATGTGGCGTTAGAGCGTACTTTAAAGGAATAGTTAGCTCCTGGAACCAGATTAGGTACATTTAGAGAGATGGTTGTTTTTATGGTGGGTGGAACTGTGATGTTGTGCCGTTCTGATGGTTGCGAGGTGTTCCAATAGTAGACAATGTATGCCTGATAGAAAAGAAAAATGATGGCTTTTGAAACATAAGCGTTACAGGTAAGCCGGGGTAATATTATGGTTGCAGAGAGAACAGTACTGATGAGAGGACACCATGTTTGTTGTTGGTATTGTTATTCATTGTTACTTTTACTGTTATTATCATTATTATTATCATCATTATCATCATTATTATTTATTTTATTTTAATTATTATATTGTTATTATAATTATTGTTACTTTTATTATCATTATCATTATCATTACCATTATTATCATTATTATTATCATTACTATCATTCTTATTGTCATTGTCATTCCTATTTTTATCATTCTTATTGTCATTACAATTATTATCATTCTTATTATCATTACTATATTTATCATTATTATCATTACTATTATTAATATCATTATTAATATTATTATTGTTATTATTACTATTATTTTCAATATCATCATTACAGGTACATGAAATAGTCTACGTTTATGTGGGCCATGCCTATAGCTCAATTTGTACATGAAACGGTGAAGTGTAAAATGAAGCCCCACCAGAAAAAAACAAAAACAAACAAATTGAATAGAAATTTAATGAAGAGTGGGTGCTATTCATTGCTGAGGGGCCCTGTCAGACAAAGCGTTCTGGATAATATCAGTTCTAATTGTTTGGAATCTACATTCAATTTCAATAACTAGAAGCTTTTAGATAAAAGAGGCTTTTCAAGAAGTTCTAGAACTCTTTGGAAGGCTGAAATGAATCACCTTTGGCTTTATAAAAAGCTTCTTTGTATTTGGTAAAATATCACATAACCAGTCACTATCTTTACCATTACTGCTCTCTAAAATAAATATGAGTTTCCTATCATTGAAAACAAATTTCCAAGCACAAGGATTTAAGAGTAACAAATCTTGGACAACACCAAATACATTTGACCGACCTCATTTTGACATCTGAAAAAACAGACACAAACTTTGAAAAGTCTGTTAAGTGCATTAATTTAATCATTGTCATTTAGATATCTCAAAGTAGACATGTTTGCTGTGAGGTACAGTAAACATTATCTAGGGAATGAGGTTCAATTGATCAATTTTGCATGATTTTCATCACACACTCGTGACCCAAAAGTGCAGAGCTGCCGACCTTGTGCGACCAAAAAAAGGAATCATGATGGCCAAAAAAAGGAACTTCAGGCAAAAAAAAAGGAATTCATCAAAACGAAACTTACAACTACGCGCGACACACTTCCAATGCAAAAATGTTCATCCCTCATGCTGTTTTTTTCCATACAAGCAAGTATTTTTTGTTTGGTATTATCAGAATTTCATTCTTTTTGAGAATATTTTTCTCTTCAAGTATGTTTATAAGTATGTTTTAAAATTAGTTTTCTATTGAATTTGTGATCAAATCATTATTATAGGGCAGTTGTTTGACGTGCGGTATGTAAAAAAATAAAAATTAAAAGACATATTTTATGAAGAAAAAACGTAATACCGTAATTTGGAGGAAAAAACAGAGTAATTCAGGCAAAAACAGAATGGTTGGCAGCTCTGAAAGTGGTCTTTTTCTACCGAGAAGCGACGTCTCTGGTACTTACGATAGCTGCAGGCATGTCGTCCCTTGGAGATGACCATTGCAAAGTGACGTTCTGGAAATCTTTTTTCTGCACTTGCAAGTTCTTTGGTGGTAACGTTGGATCTGAAAACAAAACAAGAATGAAAAATGAATTATAGGTTATCGTCGGTGGGGTGACAAAACCTCGTATCTCAAAAATCATGAATTTTCAGGAGCGCGTAAAAACCGTCCTGTCTCAACACAGATTTAGTGCTGTGACACCGTCCTTTGTGTGGAATTTGTGAAAAAACCGAGACAGGAGGCGTTCCATGGATTTATCAGGTGGTGTCGTAGGCCATTAGGTAAACAATTATGCAAAAAAATCAAAATCTCAAAAAATTGAGATACGAGGTTTTGTCACCCCACCGACGTTATGTTAGATACTCATCATGAAGTTGCATTGTGAAAGAAAATGGATAGAAATTATTCTGAGTCGTCGACTATGGATAAGTTATGAGTGATTTTCTATTGTCAGACTTCAAGATAAAGTTGAGTTCTGGTCATGCAATTGCATCGTGAAAGAAACGATATGGAATTGATCAGAAAAAGTTGATCGTGGAGCATATTAGTATTGGTGTGTACTGCAAGGTTCTGGAGTCATCAAAATTATAAGAGAAATTTGGTCCAGTCTTGGTAAAGTAACAAGCACTGTACACAGAAATATGTATATGGGACCACACAAACATGTGGCATGAAAATCAGGCCTCCATTTTAAGCTGTTACTTGTCATATTTAGAATGTGAAGGCATTTGAAGAGCCATGCTTTTCAGGGAACATCTTTTCACTGATGTTCTTCTACACTTGCATAATAACAATGATACCGCTCACAAATTATTTTTCACCTCTTCCCAAACCTCGACCTTCTCTTTAAGAATCATAGAAATTGACTAACCAATGGCCACCAAAGCAAAACAGAAAAACCGGCCACTAAAGGATGGCCTTTCTTACCAGTTTCTACAACAAATTTTATCTCATATAGAAACACAACAAAGGTGACCACTACCGTGTGAGTCAAAAAAAAGTTTACACCTAGAAAATTGCTAATTATTTTGAAATTAACTATGAACAGTAAATTATTATACATCTTATGAAAGACTGTTTTATCCCAAATCATTTGGTATCATTTTGGTGTGGTATGTGTTCACGCTTGGATGAACATGAGGCATTGTTTGCGAGAGTGCAAAATACGACTTGCGCCAAAGTGATGCCTACAGTATGTATTATGTTGGGATTAGCAGAGTGAGGGAATGAATTGAATGTATCAAATGAAATGCATTGCATATGCTTTTTGCAGAAGCAAAGTCACACACATACACGCGCACAAATGTTCATTGATATTTGACATTTGATATGTGTGGCATGATTTTAATTGTTTGGGATGTTATCTGGATCTGCAAAGACCAAATTAATACCCAAAACCGAATTGTTTTATTCAAACATCACATAAGCAACTTTAGCGCAAGTCTATTTTTGCACTCTCGCAAACAATGCCTCCTGTTCATCCAAGCGTGAACACATACCATACAAAAATGAAACCAAATGATTTGGGATAAAACACTCTTTCATAAGATGTACAATAATTTACTGTTCATAGATGATTTTTAAAATAATTAGCAATTTTCTAGGTGTAAACTTTTTTTTGACTCACACTGTATAGACAGGTTGCATCTACCAAGAGGTTACCACTAAAACAGGTTTATTGGTATTGCATCCGCAACGACCAAACAAACCATTACGCATTGGGCAAGAAGAGTCAGTCGTACATGTTCATGATCAGAGACAACTTAAGGTTGTCTTTCCATAGAGGTGGGCCCGCCCAAAGACAGGGCCCCATTTCACAAAACTTGTTATCAGTGACAAATGACAATTTTTGTTATAAGCTACTGAAATCCTTGCTTCTGATTGGTTATCAGCAGATTTGCCACTGTTTTTCGTAATTTGTCATTGAAAAAAGGCTTAAGTTTGTGAAACAGGTTCCAGGGGGGTGTTTCATAAAGTTGTCCATAAAGTTACGAATGACTTTACAAATGATTTGTACATGTATATGAAGAGCCAATTGGGATGCCCAAAGTTTTTCCTGACATTTTAACAAAGTGTGGCTGTATGTCCCATAATCTCAATTAAATTGTAACAAAAAATACAGTTTGCATTAAAATGTTTTGTTAATCTATATCTGCATATTTCAACCTAAGCTTTATATGCAATTAAAAGGATTTGAGGATCCCATTTACCTCTTCATATTTAAGTCAATCGTGAAGTTCATGCGTAACCTTACGCACAGCTTCATGAAACACCCCCCCCCCCAGGTTTGATAGACATTGAGAAAGAATAGGTCGTATGTGAACTGAACCACTTACCATAGTCTGTTTTTTTCGCTACTATGGCGAAGGGTGCATCCTCACATGAGAGTTGCATTCTGACCGCAAACTGATATTTCACACCAGACCGTAGGTCTTCAATGGTGTAGGAGAGGGAGCTAGTATGGATCTTACTGAAATCAGTTGGGTTTCCATCAGCATAGGCAATGTCGTACATCTAGAAGAGATAAAAATGTATGCGTTAGAAGAAGGGCATTGTTACAGCTGTAAGTAATAATAATAACAACAACAATAAAAACAAGCAAAAAACAACAAGAATAAGAAGAAGAAGAAAAGGAAGAAGAAAGAGAACGAAGAAGAAAGAGGAAGAGGAAGAAGAAGAAGTAGAGGAAGAAGAAGAAGTAGAGGAAGAAGAAGAAGAAGAAGAAGAAGAAGAAGAAGAAGAAGTAGAGGAAGAAGAAGAACAAGAACAAGAACAAGAAGTAGAAGAACAAGAACAAGAATATGAAGTAGAAGAAGAAGAAGGAGGAGAAGAACAAGAACAAGAACAAGAATATGAAGTAGAAGAAGAAGGAGGAGAAGTAGAAGGAGGAGAAGAAGAAGGAGGAGAAAAAGAATGAGGAGAAGAAGAAGAAGAGGAAGAAGAGGAAGAAGAAGAAGAAGAAGAAGAAGAAGAAGAAGAAGAAGAAGAGGAAGAGGAAGAAGAAGAAGAAGAAGAAGAAGAAAGAGGAAGAAGAAAGAGGAAGAAGAAAAAGAAGAAGAAGAAGAAGAAGAAGAAGAAGAAGAAGAAGGAGGAGAAGAAGGAGGAGAAGAAGGAGAGCAGGAATGAGGGGGGGGGGGAAGAATTTTTATTTATACTGCACCATCTTACTAGTAAAACTATTCCATTCTGAGATGCATCACGGAAGGAAGAAGAACAAGACAAAAGAAATATAAAATGATACAGAACACTACACAACTTTGCCCTATATCTAGTTGTAGTTACTGCTACTTTTCGAAAAAGGACTGTCTTCAGAGTAGAACTATATTATGTTGTTTTTTTTGTATGTCCAATATACAGAGGATCTTACAACACGATTTGGTTCAAGTGATGCTGCATGACAAATGATAGTATACAAATAGTGAATGGCCATGAGTGCAATGGTACAAGATTTTACAGATAAGAGACGCTATATTCAACGAGGCGCAGCTTTCACCGAATGCAAAATCTTGTTCCATCGCACAAATAAAGGCCATTCACTATTTGTTTTATACAACACCTTGGACGTTAATGGGCTTAAAACAGTTTTTCTGGGCCTAAATCTCAGCGATATTTTGTTTGTTTTGAATTTATGAAATTGCCGATAGTGAGCGCGCACTATTAAGCAGGCAGCAAACCATGCGCCGCGCGTACAAAGATTTATGTTTATTTTGACGCGGAGTGCAATTTCGTTTGATCCTTATGCACCATTGCACTCTGACGTCACTCTGATGCCATTCAATGGTACTTTTAGTGCATGTCATGTGATCAAGAGTTGACCAATGAGGTTGCAAAAATCTTAGTAGGCGTTGTATAAATTGCAATGTAAAAAAATAGTAGAAAGGAACTCAGAAACCCAATTCTGTGGAGCGCTGTAATCCCTGCCTGCAGTCAAACTATCCTGAAATAACACGACAGGATCTTGACCCAAACTTCATGCCAATTTCCTTTCCTCTAGAAGAATGAACTAAATACAGTCAAACCTGCCTGAGTGACCACCTGTCTACAAGGACCACCCGTCTACAAAGACCACATTCTTTGTTTCCCTTGAAAATGGTTTCTCATTGAAACATGTACTAAAAGAACCTGTCTACAAAGACCACTTTTTGTGTTTCCCTTGGCGGTCGCTATAGACAGGTTTGACTGTATATACTTTATAATTGCTTACCACTTTGCCAGTTGGCTTGCTGGCAGGTTCGTGCCACTGCAGTCGAATTGAGCTTATAGATAAGACTGTGGCATTCAGGTCTTGAGGACGGCTGTACGGCGTGCCTATGGTCATACCTTGCTGGGGCGCTGAGAGGGAACCTCGGCCCAGGTTGTTGTAGGCACCTACCTCAAAGACGTACGCGAGTCCCGGGCAGAGATTAGGCACTGTAAAAGAACGTAGTAAATATCATCTTAGGGTGCGTTTAATCAACACTCTTGCACCCTAGAATCACGGTTTTCAAAGACGTTTAGTTGCGTCCGAGCGATTTTTGTTGGTCCTAAAAATAAACGTGTTTAAAAACACAAACATGAAACGCTGAAAAAGATGCGTTTTGTATCGTGGTTCTGCAGAATCAAAGTCGCTAAAATTCGCTTGAACGAACGGAGATCTCAATCATGATTCTATGACGTCATTATCGTGGCCTGCTTCTGGTTTGACCAACAGTCAACTGTAAATACAGACAGAAAGCACGCGGCGAAGTTGACCTATACTTCCTAGGTCAAACTGAACAGTGTGATGAGCAGTGGCTGGGCTTGAAATGAGCGAGAATCAGCTTTGATGAAAAATCGCTTGAACGCTCTCCCGCAGTAACCATGTTTTTAACGGCGTTTTGATTTGTGATTCATGTTTGTGATTCTAGCTTCAAAAATCGCTTGAACGCACCTTTAGTCCAAGATCCTACTAGTAAGGTAACAACTACCAATAACCTGAACGAACACTCTTTCTCTGGAAACATATATATTTAATTCACTAAAATATCCCTTTTCTTTAAAGTGATCCTTATAAGTAGCTGACCTAAAGAAGATATATGTTAAAAATAAATGTAAGTAACAGATTACAAGGACATGACAAAATAAAATGATGCCACCACCAAAAAAACAAAAAGAAATACCGGTAGAGAAAACAGTGCCTGGCATATAAAACATTACAAATATGAGAAACAAAAAGTTCAAATTAGATTAAAGGTAAAAAACAGTTCTGTTCATGCGATTGCGTGGTGAAAGAAACGTTGTGAAATCGATCAGAAAAGGTTGATCATCTAGCACATAATTATTGGTGTGTACTGCAAGGTTCTGGAATCGTCAAAATGATAAGAAATTTGGCCCAGTCTTGGTAAAGTTACAAGCACTGTACACAGAAAGATGTATATGGGACTACCTTATATCTATCCAGTCCGGATAGATATGATAATCTACCAAATATATCAATTAGTAGGCGGTTTCCTGGCAAAATTTGTATCATCATGTATTAGTCAAAACATATTCTTTCACATGATTGGTTATGAGAGATTCCCTTTCATTTTTTGAGAGGGGGGCGTTTCCAAAACTGGTCTTTACCTTTAATGCAAGAATAACTATAGACTCTGATTTTGTTAAGAGTGTACTACACTTCTAACATGTTTGTATGGGAGGCATGGCACTTACAAGTTATGCTGGTCTTGGTGGAGTTGGCAATGTTCCTTTGTGGTAGTTCACCTGAACTCACAGTAGCATACACCATGTAGCCCTGTGGGGAGTAAATTAGGAAAAACCACATGTTTAGATGAATTATGACAGAACCAAATTCCGTCCAAATTGTTGCAGACAGCAAAATTTCTCTAATAAATGGACTTTGTACATGTAGGTGATCTGACAAGAGGATAGTAAAGGGGGTACATTTAATGCCCTACTGCACTACTTATATCTACTTGCGCCCTCTATATAGCAAACAATGCCTAAGCGGTGACCGCTGGTCCCCCATGGTCCCTTTTTTCTTATGTTAATGGAGAGCTGATTTGATGAGATAACCACCTGTCAGTGACCACGCAGGGAGGTCTAATCCCTCCTGGCAAAACTAGTGCAGATAGGCTTTAAAGGGAGATGGTGACCACGCAGGGAGGTCTAATCCCTCCTGGCAAAACTAGTGCGGATAGGCTTTAAAGGGAGATGGTAGGCAGTTTTGATGTGCAGTAGGTCCTTATTTGCTGAAAAGTCATTAACTTACATTTCCTTCACTTGAAAATGCTCCATGAGACTTGGTGAATATACCATTAATGGGTCTACACAGCAAGCCTGTAGGCCAAATCAAGAACTAACCCCCTAGTCTCTTAAGTGAAGGAAATGTAAGTCAATAACTTTTCCATAAGGCCTTTTAAAAAAAGAGGTTGTATTGCCCTTGACCTCATGACCACAAAATCTAATCAGTTCATTGCCTCAGCAAGATACATACATGTAATACAACCTCTTTTTTTAGGCCTAAGCGACGATTTGTGGAAAACGCGGAGCATTATGTAAGGCCTGTTGCGTCTTTCGCTTGCTTACATTAGTTTTTATCACCTGACGAAGTGTTGCAGCGGCGCACGAAACGACGTGATCTTTTAGATTCCTTATTGACCATATTGCGAGACAAACAAATATCACTAGCGATATTATTTTCGATACTACATCCGCAATGAGTTATATATTTAGCATCACGTTCTTGATGTGGAATCTATGAAAAGTCTAGAATTTTGAATTTTTGCTTTTGAATATATTTTATGACTATAAATGGCTCTCCATAATTTTAAAGTCCAACTTAGAGTTAAGTTCAAGAAGTATTAATAATACGATATGACTTACAAGTATTGGTATTTCAGTTGGCTCATTTGGTCTAGTCCATGACAGGTCGACACTGTCCTTTTTTATATTCCTTACAGTCACATTGGTTGGAGCTAGCTGTATAGATCCTGCCAAAACAAAAGATACAATAGTTATAATATTTACTTTTTTGTAAAGAAAATATGATATCAGAATCTCCATGTATATGCATATAGGGGTGCCGTGGTCGAGTGGATACCTCATCGAACTGTGGATCACAAGGGCTGCGGTTCGATTCCCGACTCAGCACTAATGTCCGTTGGCAAGACAATGATCTACATTTGCCACACTCCACCCAGGTGATGTACATTTAAATGGGTACCTGGTAGGAATTAATTTTCTTAGGGGTGTAATTTCAAGGGGGTAATTTTCCACTAGGTCGATTGTCCAAGGGGTAATTGTCCGATATGATATGAGCGCTACACAAGAACACAATATTATTCTTATCATATCAGGCTTGACAATAAGATGGGTGTGGTAGACATAGGCTTAAGTAATACCTTCCTTACCCTAAGGACTTCAAAATGTAGGCAAGGGGCTCATTGCACTTACAAAAATAATATATAATTCAAATATGAAAATAATCACCCTAGGCAGCACTGCAAGAATCTGCCACAAGACTAAGTCCCCTGACATCTAACTGAACAAATTTCAGGGACATTGCTATCATGATCAATTTCAGCACAAGAATTTAAGAATGAAATTGATTCAAATTATAGGCATGCCAGTTAGAATTGATCAGAGGGCCTGAAAATCACCTAGAATGAGCTATTTGTACACAAAAAAACCTGAACTATAGCCTGAATTCAGGCTGTTGCCTGAAAACTGGCATCCCTGAAATTGGTATTTTAAGAATCAAGTATATCAAATTTAATTGAAACAAATCCCTTACCTCTACCCACAAAGACGGGAACTTCTGCGCTGCGATTTCCTGAGACATCACCGACCGAGGCAGAAACCTACACAAGACAAGGCACATGCCACAGAAGATTATACACCTACCATCATTGCACAGTAACAAAATGTGAATCTCTCAAGGCAATATCAGAAATACTGTCTATTTTGATTGTGAAATAAATATTAGATTAAAAGAAATATATAGTTTTTACTTTTTTTTTTTTTTTTTTTTTTAGAGAGGAATCTAGTGTTGAAAGCATTAGTTTGAAGTTCAACAAAATAGTGATCATTCCTACAAACTTAGAATGGTTGGCAACCAATCATTCATAAATACTTGCTCTCTTTTTGCCATTTTAATAAGACCTTCTAACCCCTAAATGAATATGCTCATCCAAGCAAGATGGTTCAAAACTTGATCTTAATTGATGTTGAAAGGGTGTTCACTTTCTTTTTTTTTTGGTGACTTCATATACTTATTGTACATAAATGATTGACAAAGAAGGAAAGAAAAGCAGCAGACACTCTGTCTTACCGAGATGTAGAACAGTTTGTCTTCCTCCAAGAGGTAGATCGGAAAACAATTTGACTTTGTATAACCCGTACGAGTCGTACTTGAGTGCTCGTCATGGTAATAGACCTGGAAAGTAAATATAATTGCAACGAAATACAAAACTTGAAAGTAAAGGACAACTTTAATACTGGTAATGCGATTGCATTGTGAAAGAAAAGGTGTGGAAAGGATCAGAAACAGTTGATCATGTAGCATGTACATGTAAGTATTGGTGTGCACTGCAAGGTTCTGGAGTCATCAAAATCATAATAAATTTGACCGAGTCTTGGTAAAGTAACAAGCACTGTACACAGAAAGCTATATATGGGACAACACACATGGTGTCAGGGCTAGTACTACCTTGATTTCCTTGTCTTTCTATGCTCATTACTCAGCCAGTATACATTCTCTTCCAAAATTGTTTGGCACATGTCATTTATTTGTAATCTTGAACATTCAGTGTAAGTTTTGTTTGATTCTGTGAGAATTAATTTTCTTTTTTTTTACCAGAACTCAAATTTATCTTTAAGATATATGAAGAAGAAATGATTATGAAGATCAGTGTTTCTTCTCGTTTTATAGTTCAATTTAAATGTAATCAGGGATGCCAGTTAGAATTGATCAGAGGGCTTGAAAATCACCTAGAATTAGCTATTTTGTACACAACAAAGCCTAAACTATGGTCTGAAAATAACTCGCCAGGGCCTGAATTCAGGCTATTGCCTGAAAATTGGCAACCCTAGGTAATCACTAAAATAGATCATAGTGAATATGTCCACAGGCTCTGCTTGATTTCAATAAATAAAGACCTTGCACAAAACTCAAATAAAAATATCTATTGGTTAGGAAGATTCTTAGATGCTAGAGGATTCAACTGGGGGCATTTCACAAAACTTGTCATCAGTGACAAATGATATTTTTTGTTACATGTATAAGCTACTGAAATCCTTGCTTCTGATTGGTTATCAGCAGATTGGCTCCTGATTTCTGTCATTTGTCATTGAAAAAAGGGTTTGTGAAATACCCCCTGATGTTCCACAAAAATTACTTACTGGGAAGTGTTTCACAACGACAAAGATCGTCCTTAAGTTGGACTTAACCATGGCAGGCCGTTCATGCCACTATTTTCTCTCATCATTTACCAGCATTGGTTTCTCAAGAGACGTACCAATCGTGGTCACAAATCTATAGAATCTACATTTTTTGATAGTTCATTATTGTAGGAAAAAATATTATCTAAAGATCATAAATGAGAGACCAATGATGAGAGCAACTAGTGGCATCAACCGCCTGCCATAGTTAAGTCAAACCTAAAGTCGCTCTTAGTCTTTGTGAAACACTTCCCAGGAAGTAATTTTTGGTGGAACATCGGGGGGTGTTTCACAAACCCTTATTTCGATGACAAATGACAGAAATCAGGAGCAAATCTGCTGATAACCAATCAGAAGCAAGGATTTCAGTAGCTTATAACAAAAACTGTCATTTGTCACTGATGACAAGTTTTGTGAAACACCCCCTTGTTTGACTGTAATGCACCTTCACCTACCGTAAAGAGAACACCAGGTGTGTCCGGGTAGTTCCATGTAACATTGACCCACAAGATTGACGGCTCCTCGATCAGGTTAGCTTTAACGTTGGTGGGTGTTGCAATCTCTCTCGAATCTAATAATAATGAAAAACCGTAGAGGGGGTTGAGTTTGTCACTTCTGTTAATTAGCATACTCGGTACTTCTTTATTGTTGTTTTCACATGTAGAGTACTGCATTTTATTTTTATTTTCCATTTTTCTAAATAAATTAAGTGTATATGGCACTGTTTTTTTTTAACTATGACCAAATACCTAAATGGCCCTTTGAGAGCCTGAAACTTTCCAAAGATAAAGAACTAGAAATCAGTAACAACTTTTTCTAGTAGCATGGACCTAGGTTAACCTCCCATAGCTTAACGAAAAATGTTCATCGTTGCTTTATGCGCATGAGGTATCCCTGAACAGCAAATTGTTTACGGAATTTTGTAACAAAATTGACATGCCATTTTGGTCGGAGCTGAAAAAAATATATAGCCACAAACAATATGTTTTTTTTCTATTGATGATTAATGAGCATGAGTGGATCTTAAAGAAACTTAACAGTAATCTGAATCAACTCCCCTATTTTAATGGAAAAGTGCAATTGAAAATGGCGTTTCGGACGTTACATTTTCCGTAAACAATGTAGACCCTCATTTAACCCACTAGAACAACAAATTAATGAGATTGTATATGGTTTGAGTAAGTTTATTAGTTGCTCCAAGTGATTATATTAAAAGAAAATATAATTTAATTATAGTAGCGCTTATATTAGAAATATACTCAAAATTTGAAAAAAGTTGTCTCATTTTCCGTAAACAGTTTTGTAACGTCCGAAACAATTTTCAAATTGAAGTAGCAGAAAATATATGAACAGCAGGATATATCTATCATAACATTTTGTTGACATCTCTTTACACTTATCCACCAAAACAAAGAAATTTGCAATACATTACTACAATACTATTTTATAGTTAAAACCAATTTTCCGTTAACAGTTGTAACGTCCGAAACAAATGTAACGTCCGAAACAAAAAATACCAATAAAATGATAATAATCCATATTTTAAGGTATCTAGAGTGAATAAATCATTATGAAATAAGTTATTATAAGTCTTAACACAAGTCAAAACACAAATCAGGTCTTTGAAATCCATTAATTTGTTGTAATCACAAGAATGGTGTTTCGGACGTTACACAATTATATTGTTAACACAAAGTCGACAAATTTCACCTAATTTTCGATCATATCTGCAAGTTACCATTTCACAATGGACACTCCTGTTAAAAACACTATTTTTATGATTTTATTCAGATTTAAATATAAAAATGTGTAGAAATATGATGCCAAAAATCAAATAATCCGTAAAATATCTAAATTTTCTGCAAAATTGACTTATAAAACATAAAATATTGAAGCCACACTTTGTGATGCAAGGCATGACTGGCTGCTTCAGTATATCCTTAATTGTAATTTATCAGAAAAAATCTCAACAAAAGTGACTCGTAACAAATATTCAGCCACTTTAACAGCACTTTCTGGTATGCTGTTAGCACGTTTCGGACGTTACATTAAACTGTTAACAGACATTTTCATACTTTAACTAGTTCAAATGAGGGGCAATGATAGATGTGAGAATAGCAAATTTCATTTGTTCAACCTCTCCTTTTGCTATTTACATTGGTGTGTGTTTGCAAATCATGAGGTTTTCATTTTTATAGAGGTTGTTCAAAATGATGTCATATAACCAAAGATTGTATGGTCAATTTACACTATCTGGTAGGTCACAAAAATAAAAATCACCCACTTAAGCAATACCCAGTGTGCATGGTCATGACATGGATATGATACAGGTATATGAAGTTGATAAAATCAAGCAAATTAAAATGTTTTTCTAAAAATTTATGAGAAATATGTATTTTCATCTGAAAATACATTTTTAAAAGGGCACTCAGTACATGTAACTAATCTATGTAGAAAGGATTGCTACTGCCATTATCCAAAACTGGAATTGGCATTTACGCTTAATAATGATAACAATTTATCAAGCAGATTTATGAAATTGGCTTGCACACTACATGACACACTCATTGGTCGATACATGTACAATTGATGAGCACAAAGGCTTCCATTATAAAACAATAATCAGTAATCAGTATCCGATACCTATTATAGAAACTTGTACAACATAATGTTGACATAGATGTAGATCTGCCAAATTTCCAAATGACAAGAAAATGGATTACCAATTTGTGGGGGTAATTAAAGCATGAACATGAAAATAAGGTGTAGCCTCTTCAAAATTAATTAATTCATAATTTTTTCCTTTCATTGGATGAATTACCCTCAAATGTACTAGCCTTATGTACAAATACTTTTCAAATGCTTGACCCTCATTAATGTTAATGATCATTTCATGATCCTAAAGATATAGTAACTTCCTCAAATTTATGCAAAAATATCGGGATGTACAATGAATTAGGATTCCCATATTTCTTATTACTTAAATGGCTGGGGATACTTTTGTATACTTTTATTTGTTAAAAGTATTTTTGTAATGTTTTGCTTACACTGTACACACTGTACATGTATGTGATAGTGATATTATTGAATGACACACTATATGAATCTAGTTTAAGGCAAAGTACAAAGCAAGCCGATTAAACATCTATGTTGTAAAGTTTGAAGAAATTGATGATCTGATTGAAATGTTCACATCTTGTAACATCCGAAACAAACTATAGCATATATTGTACACTCTTGTTCATTACCTGCAAAAGAGAGTATTTTTGTATAAAGTGAAATTTCTAGGAGTTGTGATGACTACAATTGCTATTAGCTCCATATTTCACTTTGTTAGATCACATAAGTATTTTTAACTACACGTTCCTGAAATGAACAGTTTACCTTACATAAATTGAGTAGTCGATGAAGACAAACTAGGTATATGTGCAAAACTAATTAAAACTGCACAAGTTTTTCAATAAATGTTAAAGAAATATTTTTCTGCAAACAATTAATGTAACTTAGGTCAATAATACCTAAAGAAAAGCAATTAACTTGAATAAAGTTATGATGTTATCAGTGTGTCACGTCCGAAACACCGGTGGTGTGACATATGAAAATTATTAGGCAATGCACTGGTTCCCCAATTTTTGGGGATGTATTTAACTTATATCATCAGTTGTTATAATAAAATAAGTTTGACCTAAGAAAAAAGCATTTTACCTATTGAAATAAAAACTTGTTATTGTCAAAACCCTAATTTGGAGCTATTTTTCACTTTCAAGGGACACAAAATCTGTATTTTTCAAGATAGAAACTCAAAAATTTGCATGAATAATCTCTGAAACATATTCTTAAAGACCAACATATTTGTTGGTGAAGTTAATAGCAAATGAGTTTTATATCACAGTTATTAGAATATGCTATAGTTCACAATCAAATTGTAAAAACTCAAAGTATTCATATCTGGTGAATAAATAAGAAGATAGATTAAGGTCCAAAATTTGCATTTCTCAAAAATATGAATAGTCTTGATCCTAAAAATACATGTTTGAAGTGAGTAAACATGATTTCATTTCAGACCCTATTGTGGACACATTTGGTATATGTTAAAAAAACCAGTGCCATATATCAAAAAATATTTGCATTATCCCAAGTTTAAGGCACAATTATTTATGTCATTATGTTACATCGATTCTTTAAACAATATCTTTTCATGATTATAAATTAATCATACATTTCTTGAAATTATTAATAAAGACTCAAATCAATTCTGAACATATCAAATTGATTCACATCAAATCAAATCAATTTCCATCAAATCAAATCAATTCACATCAAAGCAGAACAAGTTAATTCATATCATATGGAATAAAATAAAATCAAATGAATAAAATCAATTTACATCACATCTAATCATGTCAAATCAAATCAAATCAATTCACATCAGATCTAATCAAGTCAAATAAAATAAAATAAAATCAATTCACATCAGATCTAATCAAGTCGAATGAAATCAAATCAATTCACATCAGATCTAATGAAGTCAACTGAAATCAAATCAATTCACATCAGATCAAATGAAGTCAAATGAAATCAAATCAATTTACATCACATCTAATCAAGTCACATGAAATCAAATCAATTTACATCGAATCTAATCAAGTCACATGAAATCAATCAATTCACATTAGATCTAATGAAGTCAAATGAAATCAAATCAATTTACATCAGATCTAATCAAGTCACATGAAATCAAATCAATTCACATCAGATCTAATCAAGTCAAATGAAATCAAATCAATTCACATCAGATCTAATCAAGTCAAATGAAATCAAATCAATTCACATCAGATCTAATCAAGTTAAATGAAATGAAATCAATTCACATCAGATCTGATCAAGTCAAATGAAATCAAATCAATTTACTTCACATCTAATCAAGTCACATGAAATCAAATCAATTCACATCAGATCTAATCAATTCACATCAGATCTAATCAATTCACATCAGATCTAATCAAGTCACATGAAATCAAATCAATTCACATCAGATCTAATCAAGTTAAATTAAATCAAATCAATTCACATCAGATCTAATCAAGTCACATGAAATCAAATCAATTCACATTAGATCTAATCAAGTTGAATTAAATCAAATCAATTCACATCAGATCTAATGAAGTCAAGTGAAATAAAATCAATTCACATCGGATCTAATCAAGTCACATGAAATCAAATCACATCAGATCCAATCAAGACAAGTCAAATGAAATGAAATCAATTCACATCAGATCTAATCAAGTTGAATGAAATCAAGTCAATTCACATCAGATCTAATTAAGTCAAATCAAATCAAATCATGTCACATCAGATCTAATCAAGTCAAATCAAATTAATTCACATCAGATCTAATCAAGTCAAATGAAATGAAATCAATGCACATCAGATCTAATCAAGTCACATGAAATCAAAAACAGATCTAATCCTTACCTGCAGGTGTTCTATAAGACAGAAGAGGCACCTTGTTGTATGCTGTGCCACCGATGGAGATAGATGCGGTGAATACATAGTCTGTTTCTGCCTTCAGATTGGTCCAGAGGTGAGACTGACGGGCCGTGACGTGTGAATACGTTTTATTGAAGATACTTGTAGTCGGCAAGTCATGGCCGGGTTGATTAGCTTGAGGGTCGGCTTCCCTGTGATGTGACAGAAATATAAAAAAATCATGGTTATGAGTGAGATGGTAAAAAGGGTAAAAGAGAAGGTAAAAAGGGTAAAAGATAAGGTAAAATGGGTAAAAGTGAAGGTAAACAGGGTAAAAAGGGTAAAAGAGAAAGTAAAAAGGGTGAAAGAGAAGGTAAAATGGGTACAAGAGAAGGTAAAAATGGTACAAGAGAAGGTAAAAATGGTAAATGAGAAGGTAAAAAAGGGTAAAAGAGAAGGTAAAAAGGGTACAAGAGAAGGTAAAAAGGGTAAAAGAGAAAGTAAAAAGGGTAAATGAGAAGGTAAAAAGGGTAAAAGTGAAGGTAAAAAGGGTACAAGAGAAGGTAAAAATGGTACAAGAGAAGGTAAAAATGGTACAAGAGAAGGTAAAAAGGGTAAAAGAGAAGGTAAAAAGGGTAAAAGAGAAGGTAAAAAGGGTACAAGAGAAGGTAAAAAGGGTAAAAGAGAAAGTAAAAAGGGTAAATGAGAAGGTAAAAAGGGTAAAAGAGAAGGTAAAAAGGGTACAAGAGAAGGTAAAATGGTAAAAGAGAAGGTAAAAATGGTACAAGAGAAGGTAAAAATGGTAAATGAGAAGGTAAAAAGGGTAAAAGAGAAGGTAAAAAGGGTACAAGAGAAGGTAAAAAGGGTAAAAGAGAAAGTAAAAAGGGTAAATGAGAAGGTAAAAAGGGTAAAAGAGAAGGTAAAAAGGGTACAAGAGAAGGTAAAAAGGGTACAAGAGAAGGTAAAAATGGTACAAGAGAAGGTAAAAAGGGTAAAAGAGAAGGTTGAATTCTGGTTAATATGGGAAAAGACTAGCCCACTTCCTCATTCTTTGCACGCCCGTTGGGCAGGATACGAAAGTAGGAGTATCTGCTGAAAATGAGAACTTCTCATTACAAATTATTTCCATAGATGCTTACGGCTTTCCATAATTGTTAAGTCCAACTTAGAGATAAGTTCAACTTAGGATCTTTGTGAAACAGGGCCCAGGACTTACCTCTTATAGAGCGATACGATCATAGAATTCGTAGTTGTTGGGAGATTGAAATGTACGAAAGCTGATTTGATATTAGGACCAACTCCAACTTCCATCCCTTGTACCAGATATCCACCTGTATTTGAATTTGAAATTGAATTTATTAATGACAACACATCACAATAAGGCCTACAAAAAAATGTTGTATTGCCCTTTAGGTGCCAAAACATGGGTCGGTCAGTCAGAAATATTTTTTTTTAAAACTTTTTAAAAACGTTTTTCTCATTTTTTTCTCCTTCTTTGGGCTGATATTTCTCAGTTTTTTGTTTAAATACATATTTGTTTATTCATCAAACATTTTTTCTTCGAAAAAAGGGTTTTGAAAAAAAGCCTACTGTAGGTTTCAAGATTTTGGGGTCGGTCGCAAAGGGCAATACGACATCTTTTTGATGACAGTATATGAACAATCATACAATGCAAAGAATAATACTGATACATGTATACAGAACAGAAGGGTGATGTTGATTGAACAGTAAAACGATAATTTAGACATAGATTTGCATACTATTTAATGCACAAGATATACAAGTAGATATGTGTATTACTAATATTTAGGTGAAGTTGTTAATAGGAACTAGCAGTTAGCACAAGAATCAAATCGGAATTCAGTTCCCTTGAGGTGTACAGAAACCAACTTTTCCTTTTACATTTTTTACTTGCACAAAGTCTTTACAAAAAAGTAGAAATGTGAATGAGAATTACCAAATTTGGACTAAAAATGCCAATGTGTACATGAAAATGTTGATTACAAATTTCACATCATGTTGTCAATTTAGCGACCTTTTATTTTAGTACAGAGTAAATGGGAGAGTTGCTCAAAATACACATCATGTAAATTTGTAAATTTGTGTTTAATCAATTAAAACAATGAAAATCATAACCTATGTATTTTTTAATATATTTTCCTGAACTTTCATTAATCTGTTACTCATGTGGTTCTGCTTTTCCTGAGCCCAAAATAATATCACAATGGATTAGCTAGCAGTGACTTTTTTAGGGTAAACCAAGATTTAACTTGGTCCACTTTTGAAGAAAAAGACAGGACGCAATTTCCTGAAACTGTAAAAGTTGCGGACACCACATAGAAATGCAGGTTAAATGAAATACAATATACATGCACATCAATCACAATGGGATGCCCGCGAACTTGTACTTATGTCATGTCAGGTCTCATCAGGGGCCCGTTTCACAAAGCCTTTTTTCAATGACAAATGACCAAAACCAGTGACAAATCTGCTGATAACCAATCAGAAGCAAGGATTTCAGTAGCTTATAACAAAAACTGTCATTTGTCACTGATGACAGGTTTTGTAAAACAACCCCAGGTCAGGCCAGGTCATTTGAGGTCATGTCAGGTTAGGTCATGTCAGGTTAGGTCATGTCATGCCGCTCCTATCATACTTACTATGGCAGTTGGCTTCATCTTCACCTCCGAAGCAGTCGTTATTTCCATTACACTGATTCAGTTGGTCGATACAATCTTCGTACCATGAACAGTAGAACTGACCCATCCCGCAGATGTTTGGCGTTTGAGTTGGGGTCACTGCTACATTCAAAGACATTTTTTCAAAGGGTTATCCAAGACCAACCTGCCCCCTTAGTAATTGTAGTGTGCTACTTTGTAAGAATATCATGGTAAAAAATATCTCCTGAAAAAGGATTGCCCTTATATTAAAAATACAGTGAATCCTGTAAAGGCCGCTCAAGGGAAACATGACATGTGGTCCGTATAGACAGGTGGTCTTTGTGTATGTTTTTTTAGTACAGGTTTCAATTAGAAACCATATTCAGAGGAAACAGAATATGTGTTCTTTATAGACAGGCGGTCATTCTATACAGGTGGTCGATAAAGCAGGTTTGACCGTATGACAAGAAATAAGGTGGATAGCTTGTACCAAACATGTTTGTAGGTGCAGTGCCTATTATCTTTCAACTTTTTAGAGTAACTTATGTTTACAGTTGATCATTCCAAAACAGTATTCATCAACTTTTATGTCCTCCAATAATCAACCTTCCTCAATCGGTTCCAGAGACAGTCAAACCTGTCTATAGCGACCACCCAAAGGAAACACAAAAAGTGGTCTTTGTAGACAGGTTCCTTAAGTACATGATTCAAAGAGAAACCATTTTCAAAGGAAAAAACAAATGTGGCCTTTGCAGCCAGGTGGTCTTTGTGGACAGGTGGTCACTTAAGTAGGTTTGACTGTATAAGCTGAAAAACTTGAACCAAACATTCTTCTGAGTCACTTTTGATCGTTCCAGAACAGTTTTCATCAACTTTTATGTCCAATATAATCAACCAATAATCAACCTTTCCCAATTGGTTCCAGATAGTTTCTTTCACCGTGGCATGACCAATACTCACTATGAATATGACGGACAAAGAAAGCGGACAAAATATACAGTTCCTCAGGTAGACAAAGGAACATCCATTCACTGCTATTATGTAAAAATGTGTAGAACAGGTGTCACATGCATATTCACCTGTTCTACACATTTTTACATAATATCAGTGAAGGGATGTTCCTTTGTCTACCTGATGAACTGTATATTTTGTCCGTCATGTTCATAGTGACTCTACTTTATGTTTCACAGAGATGAAAAATGTAGTGACCTACATGTAGTACCAGGTTGACATCCATCTTCATCACTGAGATCGGAACAGTCGTAGTAACTGTTGCATTGATATGATCTGGGTATGCACTTCTGACCATTCCTGCATTTAAAGTCACCGTTAGGGCAATGGGAGACAGTCGTCGGGACGGGAATGTTGGTGGTTGGCTCTTCAGCTAAAGAGAGAGAGGGTGAATTATTTAATTTCAATGGTTTGATTGTGGACATCATTTTTTTATATTGTCACGTCCATTGATACCATCATCAACATCAAAATCATCAGAATCATCAACATCATTACCACCACCACCACCGTCATCATCATCTTTATCATCGTCATCATCAACATGAGTCTCATCATCATCAACATCATGTTTATCAATGTTCCCTGATATAACAATTACCATTTAAAACATCATCATTATCATCATCATCAGCGTTGTCATCATCACCATCTTCATCGCCATCTTCATCATCATCGTCATCATCATCACCACCATCATCATCATCATCATCACCATCATCAACTTCATCATCATCATCATCATCATCATCACCACCACCATCATCATCATCATCATCATCATCACCACCACCACCACCACCACCACCACCACCACCATCATCATCACCATCACCACCATCACCACCAATCACACAGCCCCCTTACTTCCGCAATGTGCCTCGTCGCTCCTGTCTGAGCAGTCAGCCTCGCCGTCGCACACAAACCACTGCCAGATACAGCGGGGCGTGGCCCCTGGTCCACAAGGCACGTGGAAGAACCCGCAGCCAGGATCCTGAGTAGTGTACGGCATCAGCGTGGTAGCTGAAATGAAAACGTTTGGTCCAAATTATTCCCCTCCAACTTGAAAGCCCATCTACACATTTTACACAGCCACCTCCCCCCAGAAAAATCATAATTCATAATTCCTAAATAAATGAATAGATTTAAAACATCAGTTTGATATACTGTAATTGATTAACAGCAAGAAAACATAAGCTGCTGCAATGTTGTTGTTGTTGTTTTTTCTTTCCTCAAGTGGAATATCAAACTCTTTCACGCTTTCTTTATCTCTCTCTCATGCCCTCCCCCCCCCCCCCTCCTCTCTTCTTATTTCTATCCAGAGATGCCAACCTCTTGACACCAAAAAACAGACAGGGTATCACGAAAACTCGACACTACCACTGGCCCGTCGGCCGCCGGCCAATGAATAACTGATAAATGTTTGCTCTTTCATTAAAATTTAATGAGAAAATTGTAAAGCAAAGTTTTTGTTAGGGATTCGGGGGTTTACTTGTATATGTTTCTATGCAATTTTTAAGGGTTTAATTTTAATTTTTTTTTTTTTTTTTCTAAAGATGAAAAATCGTATTTTCAGATTTTAAGATCGTATTTCACTCTTAATATCATACTAAATACGATTTAATCATACTGGTTGGCATCTCTGTCTATCTATCTCTCATTTCTTATTTTTACCTCTCTATCCTATCACTTTCTGTCTATCTGTTGTTCCTCTCTACTCTGTGTGTGTGTGTGTGTCTCTCTCTCTCCTATATCTTCATCTTCCTCATGCTCTTGTCTTAATACCTCTTCCTCTCTGTCTCTCTCTTTCTCTGTCTCTCTTGTCTTAATTCCCCCCCCCCCCTCTCTATCTCTCCCTATCTACAATATCTTCATCACGCTCTTGTCTCAATCCCTCTTTCTCTCACTCCCTCTCTCTCTCTCTTGTCTTAATCTCCCCCCCCCCCCCTCTCTCCATCTCTCTATCTCTCCCTATCTACAATATCTTCATCACGCTCTTGTCTCAATCCCTCTTTCTCTCACTCCCTCTCTCTCTCTCTATGGCTTGGCTACTCACATGAGCAATGTTCGTCGCTACCATCAGAGCAATCCTCGTAGAAATCACATTCCCAATTCTTCGGTATGCACTGCCCATTGTTGCATACAAAGCTGTCCCAATCACATGTGTAAGGGTACATGGTGGTATTAATAACTGTAAAAGAATAGGAATACATAACCAAAGCTGGATAACTTCACAAATATCAAAAACTTCACATCAACAGAAGCCTAGTACAGCATTTAAATTATCATGTATTCATTGTCAAGAACAATCTTATTCAGTTATACTAGATGCGATTTTGCTAAATTTCTGTTTATTTTGTCTTTAGTAATATATATGTAATGCATCTTTTATACATGAAAAATTATGTGAAGACATTAACCAACATTATAATTCAATGCCATGTTATGCTCTATGTAAGATATCTCTAATACTTTCATCATAATTGTTTTCATCAACTTTTATGTCCAATATAATCAACCAATAATCAACCAATAATCAACCTTCCCCCTCCTCATCATCATCATCATCATCATCGTCGTCGTCGTCATAGTCACCATTGTTATTATCATCATCATTCTCAAAGTAATATCATTGTTATCATCATCCCAATCATCATCATCATCGTCATCATAGTCACAATTGTTATTATCATCATCATTCTCAAATAACATCATTGTTATCATCTATACCAATATAAACTTACTGCAGTCGTATTCATCTGAGCCATCTTCGCAGTCTCTATACCCGTCACGCTTCCAATTATATGGCTGACAGAGATTATTTTTATCATTACCAAAATTATTATTAATATTATTATGATCATCATTCTCAAATAACATCATTGTTATCATCTATACCAATATAAACTTACTGCAGTCGTATTCATCGGAGCCATCTTCGCAGTCTCTATACCCGTCACACTTCCAATTATATGGTATACAGAGATCCGAGGAGTAACAATGGAAGTCTCCATCGTTGCAGTTAAATGGATCGGACGTCGTCCATTGGGGATACGTTGTTGAAGCTAAATGTAAATACAGTGGAAATATTATTGAATTATTTCTCTCAAAATATGCTTGTTAACTTTTGAGATACATTTTGTATAGTGCTAGTTTTGTCAAGAAGAGGTAATGTGTATTTCCTTGTTTTTACTTGTTATTCAAATACGTTAAGGGGCATGATTTTGTATTTCGTTTTATTTTTGTAACAACAGAATGTCTTAATTATAACGATGACAGTCTCCAGGGTTACAGTTAAACAGTTTTTACGTGTTATTCAAATACGTTAAGGGGTATGATTTTGTATTTTGTTTTATTTTTGTAACAACAGAATGTCTTAATTATAACGATGACAGTCTCCAGGGTTACAGTTAAACAGTTTTTACTTGTTATTCAAATACGTTAAGGGGTACGATTTTGTATTTTTTTTTTTTGTTGTCACAACAGAATGTCTTAATTATAACGATGACATTCTCCAGGGTTACAATTAAACGGATCGTATGTCGTCCACGGAGGGTATGTTGTTGTAGCTCAATGTAAATACACAGTTGAAATAGACCGGTTTACTATTACACATATTCAAATTGTAAGCATACTTTCTTAATAAACAAAAACAAAGGTTGTTCTTGACAACCTGAAGGCTTGTCAGAGGCTTGTCCAACAAAGTAACAAGTAATGTATGCAGACTGGTTTCCAAGTCTTGTATGTTCGTTCATAAATAACAGGTTAATGGAATGACTCGTCGCTAGGTCGCCAGGAAACAAACATCTATTAATTTGAATGTGCTAGCATATCAGTCTGTTTAAACCTTTAACTTCAAACATAAAGCCATAAACTTCTTAACCTTGAATTATTGGATCAATAATATTGTCATTATAATATGACCAATCATATTGCAGTAAAATGACTTACGATTTGTGACCTTTCTTCTATTTTTACTAAAATATTTAACCTGATTGTTGTTTATTGATAGTTATTTTTGTACAATTCCACCCTTTGCAATATTTTATTCTTTGTGATTTCAGTTGTGTCTGTAATATTCTGATCAATCACGATTTGTATTATCATTTAGTGACAGTTATTATTGTACAATTTTACAATTTGCATTATTTTTTGTAATTTCAATTGTGTTTGTAATTTTCTGATCAATCACGATTTGTATTATTATTTAGTGACAGTTATTATTGTACAATTCTACCTTTTGCAATATTATATTCTTTGTAATTTCAATCATGTTTGTGATTTTCTGATCAATCATGATTTTTATTAATCCATGAAGAAAGAAAGAAATAAATAAATATCATCATCATCAAGGTAAGGGTTGACATTCATATTATTCATATTCATATGTATTTCATTTCCAACAGAAAGGTAAACAAAGATATCACATTTTTTTTCATACATAATTCCTTTTTTCAGGAAACTATACAAATAAACATTGCACATAATAAAATTATTACAAGAAATTCTTAATTTCTGAGGAAATGGCATTAAGGTAAGAAATAAAATTTGGGTTATGCTGAGAATCAGGATTAGGTTGAGACTCTTGTATCAGGGTTCGGTTTAGGGATAGGGTTAATCATGCTGTCGCATACTCTGTACTTGATTTGAAACTACAGGAAGAAAGTTGTCAAGAATTTTTTTTTTAAAGGAAAACGTGCGGTCCCATACTCTGTACTTGATTTGAAATTACAGGAAGAAAGTTCTAAAGAATTTTTAGAAAAAAGAAAACGTGCGGTCGCATACTCTGTACTTGATTTGAAATTACAGGAAGAAAGTTCTAAAGAATTTTTAGAAAAAGGAAAATGTGTGGTTGCATACTCTGTACTTGATTTGAAATTACAGGAAGAAAGTTGTAAAGAGTTTTTAGAAAAAAGAAAACGTGCGGTCGCATACTCTGTACTTGATGAAATTGTAAAGAATTTTTAGAAAAAAGAAAAGGTGTGCTCGCATACTCTGAACTTGATTTGAAATTACAGGAAGAAAGTTGTAAAGAATTTTTAGAAAAAAGAAAATGTGCGGTCGCATACTCTGTACTTGATTTGAAATTACAGGAAGAAAGTTCTAAAGAAATTTTTTTTTTTAAGGAAACGTGCGGTCGCATACCGGTACTCTGTATTTGATTTGAAATTACAGCAAGAAAGTTCTAAAGAATTTTTTTTTTTAAGGAAAACGTGCGGTCGCATACTCCGTACTTGATTTGAAATTACAGGAAGAAAGTTGTAAAGAATTTTAAGAAAAAAGAAAACATGTGCTCGCATACTCTGTATTTGATTTGAAATTACAGGAAGAAAGTTCTAAAGAATTTTTTTTTTAAGGAAAACGTGCGGTCGCATACTCTGTACTTGATTTGAAATTACAGGAAGAAAGTTCTAAAGAATTTTTTTTTTAAAGGAAAACGTGCGGTCGCATACTCTGTACTTGATTTGAAATTACAGGAAGAAAGTTCTAAAGAATTTTTTTTTTAAAGGAAAACGTGCGGTCGCATACTCTGTACTCGATTTGAAATTACAGGAAGAAAGTTCTAAAGAATTTTTTTTTTAAAGGAAAACGTGCGGTCGCATACTCCGTACTGGATTTGAAATTACAGGAAGAAAGTTGTAAAGCATTTTTAGAAAAAAGAAAACGTGCGGTCGCATACTCCGTACTTGATTTGAAATTACAGGAAGAAAGTTGTAATGGATAAAAACAAACAAACAAACAAGAATACATACATGGGCAGCCTTGCTCATCACTGTTGTCTCCACAGTCGTCGTAGTTATCACACTGCCAATAGGACGGAATGCAATTGCCATTTTGACAGGTGAACTGCATAGAATTACAGGTGTTTACCGAGCCTGAATAAAATTATAGTATTGAGAGGAAAAAGTATAATAGTAATAATAATAATAATAATAATAATAATAATAATAATAGTAATAATAGTAATTGTAATAGTAATAATAATTATGATGATAATAATAGTAACAATAATAAAAGTACTAATAATAGTAATAACTGTAATAGTAATAATAGTAATAAAAGTTATAATGATAATAGCAATACTAATAAAAGTAATAATAATAACAGTAATAATACTAATAAAAGTAATCATGGTAATAGGAATACTACTAATAGTAATAATGCTAATAAAAGTAATAGTGATAATAGTAATATTAACAATAGTAATAATAATAATAATAATAATCACATTTATAAAGCAACTTTCCCACAGGACTAAAGGCGCTGTACCTAAGTCCTTTCAATCATGCATTCACCCTAAATATAATTATTGCAAATATATTTTTTTATACAACCCTGTATGAAACAAATCGATTCCATCATCAGTAACTACGAAAAATGGAAGTTTACAAAATTGTCGGTACAGACCAAATTGGAGAGAAGTTTGCAAGTTAAGTCACAATGTTGAAAAGTTGGGTTTCCCTGATGACAACTTCAGAAATAACTTGCTTAATATTAATCGCATTTTGCTCAAACCTTCGCGACCTGATTTGGCTTTCATTCTGAATAGAGGAGTTCAATGCACTAAATACTCAGTTGTCAGTCTTCATATCATTATTTAGAATCTAAATCAAAAAAATGATGTTTGATTACCCGTAGATTTCCTTCCTAAAACAATTGCCATTTATTAATAGAAAATCAGATCACAGGACGATCGTGTAGTTTGCACTGGGCTTTAATTTTGATATACCGGTACCCATTGCCCACTTATACTCATACTTATACTTTTCCATGCAATCAAAACCGGGCTGACCAGATTAAACTTATAAAAAAGCAGAAACACGAAGTTGCAAACCATCCAGAGACTCCTAATTAATTATATCATTACAAATCTTTATTCTTAGTTTTCTTATGTATAACTGATTTTTCTTACAAAAACTGAAGATATGGGGTGTATATTCAATACTGAATGAACGCCATTAAACTATTACCAACAACAACTTATACTCACAGTTTTGTGTCGGTGGTTCATCCCAATTGTTACCACAGTCGTTCTCACCATCGCACAACCACGTAGTTGGTATGCAACGACCGTTGGGTTCACACTGTGTGAAGTTGTCGTTGCACCCAGCTGCCATGGTTGTCGGTATGTCTGAAATGTGAACACACCAGAGGACGGTAAAACATTGACACACTTTTGCAAATGGCATGTTCCACATTGCAGAGATAATGCATTGGAACCATTATCATCATTATCATCGTCAACATTATCATCATTCATCATTATCAACATCATCATCATCATCGTCAATATCATTATAATTATCAATAACATCATCACTATCAATATCATCATTATCAACATCATCATCATCATTATCAACATCATCATCATTGTCAACATCATCACCACCACCATCATCTTCATCATTATCATGACCACCACCACCATCACAATCATCGTCATCATCCCCATCACCATCATCATCGTCATCTCTATTATCACCATCATCAATATCATCAATATCAACATCAGTATTATCCTCACTATCATCATTAATTGCAGCATCATCATCGTCAACAACATTAGTATCACCATCATCATTGTCAACAACATTATTATCACCATCATCAATATCAATATCAACATCAGTATTATCATCACTATCATCATTTGCATCATCATCATCGTCAACAACATTAGTATCACCATCATCAATATCATCAATATCAACATCAGTATTATCATCACTATCATCATTAATTGCATCATCATCATCGTCAACAACATTAGTATCACCATCATCATTGTCAACAACATTATTATCACCATCATCAATATCAATATCAACATCAGTATTATCATCACTATCATCATTTGCATCATCATCATCATCGTCAACAACATTAGTATCACCATCATCAATATCATCAATATCAACATCAGTATTATCATCACTATCATCATTATTTGCATCATCATCATCGTCAACAACATTAGTATCACCATCAACAATACTATCAATATCATCATTATCAACATCAGCATTATCATCACTATCATCATCATCATTGTCAACAACAATATTATTATCAATAACGTCATCACTATCATTACCATCATCATCGTCTTTATTTCAAATTACTACTATTATCATTATTATAAGATAAAAATATGAACTCACTTGTGATGTCACAGTTTTTCTCATCATCATCGTCATTATTTAAAACCATTCCTACAGTCAAACCTGCTTTAGTGACCACCTGTCGACAAAGACAACCTCTCTACTAAGACCACAGTTTACGTTTCCCTTAAAAATGGTTTCTCATTGAAACATGTACTATAGGCACCTGTCTACAAAGACCACCTGCCTATGAAGACCACTTTTCTTGTCTCCCTTGGGTGGTCTTTATAGACAAGTTTTACTGTATTATCATGATTATTAGATCAAATATGAACTCACTTGTGATGTCACAGTCTTTCTCGTCTGAGTTGTCCCAACAATCATTATCCAGATCACACAAGAAGCCCATCGGAATACAGCGGCCGTTGTCACATGTAAACTGATCGTGGTTACACGTCGGGAAATCTGAACATATAAGACGATATATGAATAAGATTTAACCCTTACAGTACTCAGGGGGGGGGGGGGGGTCCATAAGGAGCCCATTGGAATACAGCGGCCGTTGTCACATGTAAACTGATCGTGGTTACACGTCGGGAAAGCTGAACATATAAGACAATATATGAATAAGATTTTACCCTTACAGTACTCAGGGGGGGGGGGGTCCATAAGGAGCCCATTGGAATACAACGGCCGTTATCACATGTAAACTGATCGTGGTTACACGTCGGGAAAGCTGAACATATAAGACAATATATGAATAAGATTTTACCCTTACAGTACTCAGGGGGGTCCATAAGGAGCCCATTGGAATACAACGGCCGTTATCACATGTAAACTGATCGTGGTTACACGTCGGGAAATCTGAACATATAAGACGATATATGAATAAGATTTAACCCTTACAGTACTCAGGGGGGGGGGGGGGGTCCATAAGGAGCCCATTGGAATACAGCGGCCGTTATCACATGTAAACTGATCGTGGTTACACGTCGGGAAATCTGAACATATAAGACGATATATGAATAAGATTTAACCCTTACAGTACTCGGGGGGGGGGGGGGGGGTCCATAAGGAGCCCATTGGAATACAGCGGCCGTTATCACATGTAAACTGATCGTGGTTACACGTCGGGAAAGCTGAACATATAAGACAATATATGAATAAGATTTAACCCTTACAGTACTCAGGGGGGGGGGGGGGGTCCATAAGGAGCCCATTGGAATACAGCGGCCGTTATCACATGTAAACTGATCGTGGTTACACGTCGGGAAATCTGAACATAAAAGACGATATATGAATAAGATTTACCCTTACAGTACTCAGGGGGGGGGGGGTCCATAAGGAGCCCATTGGAATACAGCGGCCGTTATCACATGTAAACTGATCGTGGTTACACGTCGGGAAAGCTGAACATATAAGACAATATATGAATAAGATTTTACCCTTACAGTACTCAGGGGGGTCCATAAGGAGCCCATTGGAATACAGCGGCCGTTATCACATGTAAACTTATCGTGGTTACACGTCAGGAAAGATGAACATATAAGACGATATACATGTATGAATAAGATTTAACCCTTACAGTACTTAGGGGGGTCCATATGATGTCTCCATGGAAAAAAGTCTGTGCATTTTCCAAACCACCGCATTTCAGGCCATGCCATTTTCTGTATTTTCTTTCAATTTTAGCACATCTTCTGTCGCCAAATTTACCAAAAGTTGGTCATGCAAAGCTATGAAACCTTGAGTGACCTCATGTCTGCCCCGACAACAAATAATTTCAAACTAATCGAAAACTGCATTTTCTTATTTTGATTTGATTTGATTTGATTTGATTTGATTTATTTTTCCACTCAAATATCCACAAGTTCAAATGACATATATAAACCATACAGTAATACAATATATAATAAAACACATGAATTATACAAGTAACAAAATACTGATAACTATGTATGTAATAAACTAAGTTTACAGAGTACATTTAAGTTTGAGAATAAAGACAAAATATTTTATATTGCTTGATTTAACTGAGAGGGGAAAAAAGGGAATCTACGACAAAAACTTGAGACTTACCACAATTTTCTTCATCAGAGTTATCACCGCAGTCATCATAATGATCACATTCCCATGACAGCGGAACACACTGGGAACCCCCTGATTTGCAATGGAACTCATCAGGGCTACAGGTGTAATAAGCTGGATGATAATACATGAGAGATAAAGGAGATAAAAGGTTATCATGGGGATTTCAAGGGAATCATTATCATTATCTTTGTCACTGTCATCATCATAATCTGTATCAATACCACCATCAATATTTTAATCATCATTATCACTACTTAATATCATTAGCATTATCATTATCGTTATTATAACTCTTATTATTAATATCCAAATCATTACTATTGTCATTATCATAATCACAATCATTTACCCTGACATTCTTTTTTTTATTACCCTGGCATTCTTAGTACATGTACTGATATCATCACAATATCAACTTTATTTATACATGTAACAGAGCTGCCAACCTTGTGAAACCAAAAAAAGGAATTTCAAGCAAAAAAAAAGAAATTCATGAAAACCAAACTTCCAACCACGCGCGACACACTTCCAATGGAGAAATGTTCATTCTTCATGCTGTTTTTTCTATACAAGCAGGTAATTCTTTTGGTGGTTATTTTGGTATTATCAGCATTTCATTTTTTTGAGAATATTTTTCTCTTCAAGTATGTTTTAAAATTAGTTTTCTTTTGAATTGTGATCAAATCACCATTTTAGGGCAGTTGTTTGACGTGCGGTATGTAAACAAAAATTAAAATTAAAAAAATTAAAAAATTAAAAAATAAAAAAATTTTAAAAAAATTAAAAAACGTATTTTACGAAGATAAAACATAATACCGTAATTTGGAGGAAAAAACGGAGTAATTCCGGCAAAAACGGAATGGTTGGCAGCTCTGATGTACTCATAGTAATGGTGATATATGGCACCGTATTTCTGTATAAAAACATTCAAAGGCACTGGCTCCTCCATTAAAGGCATCGTTTAACAATGTCAAATCTGAGATGCATGGCCCTACGTGTTATCAGTGTCTGTGATATGGTATAATATTGAAGCCCTACAAAATTTCGCTTCGAGACGAAGTGCCTCAAAAAGTAAAAAATCTTTGAGTGACCAGTTTTACCATACTCATATTCCCCAATAGACTGTATAAGGGAGTTTACAGATAGCACATGGTACAAATGACCCCAAATATCCACAGATCTTTTACACATGGAGAAGTTCCACTTTGAGCATCTTAGAATAATAACTGCCAAAGTCCTAGATGTGCTTCATGAATACCTTTTGTTTGACCTCTTGAAAAGAATACTTCCACCTGCGTATCATAGAACGTACCGTTGGTGCATAAATGAATAATGTTACATAACTTTCATGAGCGCATATCCAGTATTCATCTCTGTGGGTTCTACCATTTTGGTACAAGTGACCTTTATCTGCCCATGCGCAGATTGTATCTGTAAACTCCCTTATTGTAATGAAAACCGTTAGGAAAACTTACGACAATTGAGTTCATCTGAGCCGTCAGCACAGTCGCTCTCATGATCACACTTCCAGAAGCTAGGAATACAGCGATCAGAGTCCAAGCATTGGAACTGGTCAGGATTACAGGTGGATCCTAGTGTTAAAATATAGTTTGGGGTTATAATAATATTCCGCTTATATAGCGCTTTAATACAATGTCTCTATTAAAGCGCTTTACAGATATACTATTACCCCGGTCATTGGATTCAGTGCTTGCTCGCACACAATGTGTGCACAATCTCCACTCCCTGGGGAGCATTCCAGCCAGGCGTGACTTGACGCTCAAAAACTGTTTGACCAACAATGACGGCGGCATCCTTCTTCCTCCTCGTCAACACTACGACTTTCTTAATCTCCATCCTCACTATCACCACCCCACCACCACCACTACAACACAATCATCACCACCAACAGTATCATCATCATCACCATCAACGATACCACTACCGTCACCATAACCACCACCACCATCACCACCAAAACCATCATCATAACCAACACAATCATCACCAATAACAATACCACCACCATCACCACCAACATCATCACCACCACCACCAGTATCACCATCACTAACACCACCAACAAACACAACCACCAACACCATCATCACCACAATACCACAACCAGTACCATCACCACCAACAATACAACCACCAACACCATCATCACCAATAACAATACTACCATCAATACGATAACCACCACCACCACCAGTATCTCCACCACCAACACCACCATCACACACAACCACCAACACCATCATCACTACAATACCACAACCAGTATCATCATCACCACCACTATCACCAACAACAATACAACCACCAACACCACCAACGCCATCATCACCACCACAATCATCATCATCACCCCCACCACAATCTTCACCATCACCACCACCACCATCACCATCACCACCACCTACATCACCATCATCATCATCACTAACCCTGAGTAACACAATATTCTGAGGTGACGTTAAGCTTCTCTCACTGTCGCCACCAACATTACAACCACCAACATCACTAACAATACAACCACCAACATTACAACCACCAACACCATCATCACCACCACCACAATCTTCACCACCACCACCACCACCACCACCACCTCCATCATCATCACTTACCCTGAGTCATGCAATATCCTGTGGTGAGGTTAAGCTTCTCTCCTGGTTCACACTGGCAGTCCTCTCTCCCGTCACCACCACCACCACCATCACCACCACCAACAACAACACATACAACCACCAACACCACCATCACCACAATACCCAAACCAGTACCAATACCATCACCACCACCACAATCATCATCATCACCACCACCTCCATCATCATCACTTACCCTGAGTCATGCAATATCCTGTGGTGAGGTTAAGCTTCTCTCCCGCTTCACACTGGCAGTCCTCTCTCCCGTCGGGCGTGATGACGATCTTCATGTCGTCTGGACAGAGACACACCCTCGTCACCGCATCCGGACTGCTTGCATCAGGCTTCACGATGCACAGGTGGGTGCACCCGCCGTTGTTCTGGGAGCAGGGGTTTACGCCTACAGGAATTGAACATGAAATAAATCAAAATTAATCTAGTACTGAAATTAATGAATGATGTCTCCAAAGATTATCATCTCTCTTTCTGTCTTGTTTTTCTCCTTTCTGTCACTCTCTCCCTGTCTGTCTGTCTATCTGTCTCTGTCTGTCTGTCTCTCTATCTCTCCCTTTGTCTGTCTCTGCTGGTGTGTGTGTGCGTAGGAAAACGCAAGCAACCGCGGACCACTCCATAGAAAACTACCTCAAACCGCGGACGTACCTGCAATGGGGGACCGTCCACGGTTGCGATACCGGTTCCGCCGTATCAAATTTACGACGTAGGGGGCGTTTGAATATTAGATGTCACAGCGTGTAGGCAACATCGACTGGATCAGTCCGATGTGTATCGCGAAATGTCACAGCGCCCCCTTTTGACTGCGCGGGAGAGGCGCTCGTTACCTGGATCATCCCATAGGAGGTACGTCCGCAGTTTGATGTAGTTTTCTATGGAGTGGTCCGCGGTTGCTGGTGATTACCTACGCACACACACACAAGTACTAAACTTGGTCCACGGTTGACAGCATTTCCCTGTAGTGGTGTGTGTGTGTGTGTGTGTGTGTCTGTCTGTCTCTCTCTCTCTCTCTCTCTCTCTCCCCTTGTCTGTCTCTGCTGGTGTGTATGTGTGTGTGTCCCTCTCTCTCATCCTCTTGCTCTCATTTTAACTTTTTTGCCTCTCTCCTATTTGTATATCTCATTATAGCCGTTTCTTCTCCTCTGCTCCCTTCTCCCCCATTCATTAATTTCTTCCTTCATTCCTCCCTCCCTCCATACCCCTCTCTCTCGCTCTCTCTCTCTCTCTCCCTCCCTCCCTCTCTCCCTCCCTCCCCTCTCCCTCTCCCTCCCTCCCTCCTCCCTCCTCCCTTCCTTCCTTCCTTCCTTCCCTCCCTCTCTTCCTCTCTCCCTCCCTCCCTTCCTCCCTCTCTCCTCTCTCCCTCCCTCCCTCCCTCCCTCCCCCCTCTCCCTCCTTCCTTCCCTCCCTCCCTCCCTCCCTTTCCTTCCCTCCCTCCCTCCCTCCCTCTCCCTCCCTCCCTCCCTCCTTCCTTCCTTCCTTCCTTCCTCCCTCCCTCCCTCCCTCTATTTCTCCCTCCCTCCCTCCCTCTCTTTCCTCTCTCCCTCCCTCCCTCCCTCCCTCTCCCTCCTTCCCTCCCTCCCTCCCTCCCTTCCTTCCTTCCTTCCTTCCTTCCTTCCCTCCCTCCCTCCCTCCCTCCCTCCCTCCCTCCCTCCTTCCTTCCTTCCTTCCTTCCCTCCCTCCCTCCCTCCCTCCCTCCCTCCCCTCTCTCTCCTCTCCCTCCCCTCCCTCCCTCCCCTCTCTCTCTCTCTCTCCCTCCCTCCCTCCCTCCCTCCCTTCCTTCCTCCTCCCTCCTTCCTTCTTCCTTCCTTCCTTCCTTCCTCCCTCCCTCCCTCTCTTCTCTCTCTCTCCCTCCCTCCCTCCCTCCCTCCCCTCTCCCTCCTTCCCTCCCTCCCTCTCTCTCTCCCTTCCTCCCTCCCTCCCTCCCTCCCTTCCTTCCTTCCGTCCTTCCTTCCTTCCTTCTTTCCTTCTTTCCTTCCTCCCTCCCTCCCTCCCTCCCTCTATTTCTCCCTCCCTCCCTCCCTCCCTCTCTTCCTCTCTCCCTCCCTCCCTCCCCTCTCCCTCCTTCCCTCCCTCCCTCCCTCCCTCCCTCTCTCTCTCCCTCCCTTCCTTCCTTCCTTCCTTCCTCCCTCCCTCCCTCCCTCCCTCCCTCCCTCCCTCCCTCCCTCCCTCCCTCCCTCCCTCCCCCCCTCTATTTCTCCATCTCTAAGCACTATCCAGACAGACTGCCAATCACCACCAACCTTGTTGCGAGGCATTATGAAAGATCTTGAGATCCATGGCACTGTCCAAACCAGCGACTACAGTTCGGACATTAGCACCGGTATACTTGTTAGCTGACTGAATACTCAACTGAGACCAGTCATCCCAATATATCATATCCTAAAGAGAAACGATAATAATAATAATAATAATAATAGTGGATACTTGTATAGCGCACAGGTCCACCTTTCGGTGCTCATGGCGCTTAGAGAAAAGGACATGTAACAGACATAAGAAAGAAAAAACAACAATAAACCGAAGAAAAAAAATTTGAATGATTCTGTTGACGACAGTTGGCGTATTTGTAGAGGGAGCTTATTCCAGAGTTTTGGACCCATTGCAGAGAAAGCCTGATCGCCCCAAGCAAGTTTTATTCTGGGTGTATTAAGTAATAGCATGTCTGATGAGGAAAGAATTGACATGATCGACACTGCAACACTGAACAACAAAAACAAATCTTTTGCAAAGTCTTTTTGTAAAGTCTGTCATGACTTGTATGAGTAAACTGGTAAACTTGAATAAAAATTGGCATTCACAGAAGAGAAAAGTGGAAAGACTTGACAGGATCGAAACTGCAACACTTAACAACAAAAATTATGTATGTAACTTATTTTGATTCTTTGTAAAATGTGAGCAAAACAAATTTCCAATATTTGACAATAAATTGAAATTGCTTATTTTGATTCTTCGTACGTTTGTAAAATGTTTAATAGCAAAACATATTTCCAATATTTGACAATAAATTGAAATTGCTTATTTTGATTCTTTGCATGTTTGTAAAATGTTAGCAAAACATATTTCCAATATTTGACAACAAATTGAAATTGCTTATTTTGATTCTTTGTACCTTTGTAAAATGTGAACAAAACGAATTTCCAATATTGGACAATAAATTGAAATCAATTAAAATTGAAATGAAAAGAAGTTCCAAAATACCTTGTAAACAGCGATGGAGAATGGATGTGGGGTGTTTTGATCGAGCAGGACTTCACGATGGGATCCGTCCAACCAAGCGGTCTCAATCCTATCAAAGTGGGCGTCCGTCCAGAAGATGTGTGAAGATTGGTCATCAATGGTTAGACCGTTCGGCCAGTAGATGCCTGTGGTGACCAGCTTGGTGACGTTCTGACCGTCCATGTGGGCAGTGGCGATGACCGGATTAGCACCCCAGTCGGTCCAGTACATGTTACTATTAAGGATCACGTAAGAATTTAAAATAAAGACACATTAGCATGAAATCAATTAAAAAGTTCAGAGATAGTTAGGGTGGTATTCTCAAAAGTGGACTAACTTTAGTTCATGGTTTAAACCTCCGACTAAATATGGAATGTCAAGTGTCCATATGAATATATTTTTTAATAATTTGATATGTCCCTAAATTACCATGATAACATAATTATTTCTTAGATACATTGTTGTTTATCAATTATGTTATTAAATTTTATTTCAATCAAGTGACAGGTTAAATTATTCAAAAACATATTCATATGGACACTTGGCATTCCATACTTAGTTGGAAGATTAAACCATGGATTAAAGTTAGTCCGCTATCGAAATTACCACCCTTAATGTTTAACAATGACACATGTCATCTGTTTGGAGCTCGAGGGGCATTAACTCCATATTCTCAACAACTCTGAAAGTGGTTCAATGGTTGTGAAACTGCCGTAAAATGGTGGGAAAATAGTTTTGATACTTGATAGCATTTTGTTACCAAAAATGGTGAAAGAATGATTTAAGAGTTGACAGTGCATATCATGTGTTTGGGGCCAGAAAGCGCACATTTGTATCATTTCATGCACAGTTGACGCCCTTCTGGCTCCAAACAGACAAAATATGCTTGTCAACTCTTTTGAAAGTGGTTTGTTGCCATCATCACCATCACCATAGTTATCTAAAACAAGATCAAGGCATTAAGCCTGTAATTCCCAGTCTCTTTGTCTGAACTCTCTATGTCTAAAATGTGTAAAATATGTTGTTATGTGTGTGTAAATCTGCTGTAATGTGTGTGTAAATCTGTTGTAATGTGAATGTAAATCTGTTGTAATGTGTGTGTGTAAATCTGTTGTAATGTGTGTGTAAATCTGTTGTGGTGTGTGTGTGTAAATCTGCTGTAATGTGTGTGTAAATCTGTTGTAATGTGAATGTAAATCTGTTGTAATGTGCGTGTGTAAATATGTTGTAATGTGTGCGTGTAAATCTGTTGCAATGTGTATGTAAATCTGTTGCAATGTGTATGTAAATCTGTTGTAATGTGTGTGTAAATCTGTTGCAATGTGTGTGTGTAAATCTGTTGCAATGTGTATTTAAATCTATTATGTGTATGTAAATCTTACCCCCTCTTCGGGTCCAGAGCTAGCGCCCTTGGTTGGTCTAGAGTAAGATTTATCTTAAGTTTTCGTCTGAAGCGTCCATCAAAGCGCGCAACCTCAATGGTATCACTATTGGAGTCCACCCAGTAAAGGTTCTCTGCGAGCCAATCAAAAGCGATGCCTTCGACCATATCAAGACCTGCGCTTACAATGACCTGGTTCTGGTTGTCGGAGTCGCCTGGACAGAAGCGCTGCAGAGGGTTTGAAATCAATCAAATCAAATTATCTTCAGGATTAGACAAGAGAAGGCAACAACAATTTAGGGACAGAGAGCATATCACAAAAATTTGACGGTCTACTGGAAGAAGAGATTTTAGATTACTTAAAGGCATCGTTTAACAGTGTTAAATCTGAGATGCACGGCCCTAGGTGTTTTTAGTGTCTGTGATATGGTGTAATATTGAAGCTCTAACAAAATTGCGCTTCAAAAAGATCCAAGAAGTGCCTCAAAAAAGTAAAAATCTTTGAGTGACCGGTTTTATCATACATGCTCATTGTACCCAATAGACTGTAGTGTTCTAAAAACCGTTAAGGGAAAAAAAGTAAAAATCTTTGAGTGACCGGTTTTATCATACATGCTCATTGTACCCAATAGACTGTAGTGTTCTAAAAAACGTTAAGAAAAACAATTTGATTTCGATTTTCAATTATAAATATCTTGATAATCAGACGGGCGATCAGCTCGTAAAAGTCATGGGGTTCCTGACTGACCTAAAGGTTTATAATTATCATTGCATCATGAGCTAAAACCAGGATTTTGTTTCAGAATCTGAGACAATGTTATGGAGTCACTTTAATAAGTGAGTGGAGAAGACGCTACATTAGATTATGATGTCTTATCACTTACATGGATTTCATCAAAAGTAACTTCAGCGTAATAATAGCAATCATGGTCCACATCATAGTCAACAGCAGTAGCGAGCTGTAGGCCCTCTATTGGTAGTCGTTCGTCAGAGCCATCCAAGAGGAAGTATCGATGGATCTCTGTTCGTTCAGCGTAGAGAATGAACTCAGCACTCTCTGTGGGTTTCAACAGGAAAAGTCAATGTAAAAAATACCTTTCCCCTTATAGTCAATCAGGTGGGTGTTTCACAAAGATCCTAAGTAGAACTTAACTCTAAGTTGGACTTAAAAATTATGGACAGCCATTGGAGTCTTTAAATGAAATATATTCAAAAGCAGAAATTCAAGTATTTTAGACTTTTTATTAATTCCACATCCAGAACATGAAATCTCCTTGATGATAGAAAATATGAATGATTTCAATAAACAATGAATGCCTTTCAAAATAACTTTTACAAAATATTTTCAAAGATGCTAATGGCTTTCCATATTTTTTAAGTCCAACTTAGAGATAAGTTCAACTTAGGATCTTTGTGAAACACCCCCCAGGAGCCGCCGCTAATTAGAACAAGTACAGAACAAGTCTCGTTCCATTTACTATCATAATAATATCTATAATGTTCTCTCAGTAACTGTGTTAACTTATTATGGGCATTCCCAACTCAAGCTATGCTTTTCAGGTTTTCGCCTCCTTCCGTATCTGAATTATTTACTGTTTACTCTATGTTGAAATCATTGTTACATACATGTATATCATGTATATATACATTATACATTGTGTTTCATATTGTACTGTTGAGAAGGAATTAATGTTAATAAATACCAACAAAAATCACTGAAATTTAGTCTGATATCACAGATACAAACTAAAAAAAAAAAATTCTGAGGGTTAACAAAAGTTAACATGGACTTCAACCCCAACATTAACACACAGAAACCAATCAAACCAGTCTACACATGTATAAAGGACACAGACATAGGAAGTGTCCACTATGGACAGGGGGTCTTTCAAGAACAAGGTTCTATGATATAAATTTCTCCCTAACAAAAGACAACAGAAGCTGCCCCTATACATGTAGACATACATGTAGGTAGACTTTATATAGAGGGATGGCAATCGCGGCAGGTTGAACTGTATATACCGGTTATACAATCCAGGGTATGTTTCACAAAGATCATAAGTTGAACTTATCTTTAAGGTGGACTGAACAATTACGGAAAGCCGTTAGCATCTTTGAAAATATTTTGTAAAAGTTTTCTAATATCAAGGAGATTTCACGTTCTTGATGTGGAATTTATGAAAAGTCTAAAATACTTGAATTTTGAAATGTTATTTTGAGGCTACAAATGGTTCTCCATAATGTTGAAGTCCAACTTAGAGTTAGGTTTGACTTTTGATCTTTGTGAAACACCCCCAGGTTTGAGAGTTGATGTAATTCAGAGAACATGTTTTACCTGCAACAGGGCATGAGACTTGGTCTGCCTCGTAGTACTTCTCGTCTCCTCCATGGCAAGTATCTCCTTCCACCTTGCGATACCTACAGGCCAAAAAACATACAGGTTCAGGCTTAGGATTAGAAGTCTTGCAGAAACAATATGACTGTGGTGATGGTGATGATGATGAAGCTGTTGATAGTGGTGGTGATGGTGGTGATGATGGTGATAATGGTGGTGATGATGATGATGATGATGGTGTTGATGGTATTGATAATGGTGATGATGTTGATGATTTCAATGTTTACAATGTGATATTTAAGTAATATTGACTGACTTCAGGGCAATATGACATATATCAGGGTGATATATGACAAGTCGTATTGACAATAATATTAATTCATTGGTTTACCGTGTGATAATATTGACCAGCAAATTACACACAAAATCCCTTTGACTTTGCTGAGCAGTCAATAGTATTTTTTCACCCGCAGTTTTATCAATTCAAATTCTAAGGGCAATAAAACTTAAAAATTGCCCTGCTCAGATGTCTGATACGGTCAATAATATGTGTTATATACCTCACTTAAGAAATCCAGCCATCTGATTGGTCGAAATTGCATTCATAAACTTTAACTATTTCTGTAAAATTCCCAGTAACCATGGTTAAAACAGTTCTAAAATCCCAGTAACCATGGTTACCGGGAAAATAGTTCAGTCTCCATGGTTACCCCATAGGTTTACATGTTAAAAATGGTTTGAGCGATCGAGGATACCGTACGTGCGCGAGGAATTGGTCGGTATTTTCATACAAGACAAGACAATTCCAAACAAGACAAAAATGGCTAAAGAAACTGTCCTAAGATTTCAACTTATCAAATGCAAGACTCGCTGACAGCAAGAACAACAAAAAAGGTACGTGAAATTATCCATAAACATGTTTGTTTAGTTGCTGAAAATGGAGTACCAGCATAGACATGGACGAAAATAGATATAGTTGTCAGGGTGTCTGATCGCGCACCCGATGTTGTGTGCTATATTCTTCCCATAGAGATTACACGCAATGCAGTCTCTATGCAGTCTACGTGCATTGCGTGACCATGCAAAAAAAGTCAAGTTTTTTTTTTCAATTCGAGATTCAAACCTTTATCTGTTGTGATCCTGAAGGTGATACTCAATAAGTGAGGTGTCATATGAAAGCGCAGGTTCTTCTCTCTATTCCCCACAGGGCCGGCCCACCCCCAAAATTGTAAAAATATCTTGCTTAGACTAGAATCTAGATCTAGTCTACTCTCAAAGATACACTCATAAAAAAGGCCAAGGTGGTGTCATTACTTGACTCTTTTGTTTTCGGCATATAAAAGTATTAATGACTGCTTCAATATTCGAGAAATAGTTGTTTTATATGCTCTCGGGAAGGTTACAATTGGGCTATTGCCCTTGGCACGCCTCGGGGCAATAGCACAATTGTAACCTTCCCTTGAGCATATAAAAACAACTATTTCTCTCAAAGCAGTCATTAATACTATAATATTAAAATTATTATGGGGAATAACAGGTAAATTGTGTACAAATACCTATACAATACAATTACTTTGCAATGTCTTGCCCTTTGGGCTTCACCAGATGTCTTCAGGGCATTATTTTCAGTACCTTCATGGTAGGGGTCTAGTTGTATGGGGGATTTACAAGTACAAGGGATCCTACAGTATACTAGTGAGTTTATATACAGTATTCAGAATTTGAGTGACAAAATACTCTTAAGTGCTTGATAAATGTGTCAATCTATTTCATGAGTTTTGTCTGGGGCTGTCGTACTATCAATCAATCTGCTTACAATGACTGTCCTTCTTCCGCAAATAATGTTTTAATGTTTGAAGAAATTTAGTGTATGTGACACTTTATCATTTCTTTTTTTGAAAATAACAATTGTTATATACAGATATATATATATATATATATTGGTTTGTTCATGATTCATTGTCAGAAAAATACTTATGGTATTGTACTTTAAATCATTATTGTTATAAAAAAACTGTGTATTTACATGAATGAGAAGAAAATAAAATAAAAAACAAATCAACGTGCTTACCCTTTTGACCTTCTCCAGAATGTATCTTCAGGGCAGCGGTCTGGTTGTACCGTAGGATCCCTATCATCCTCTGGGTCCTTCATACAGATGTACGAGCCTTCCCTCTCCATGAAACCAAAGTCACTGTGCAAAGCAGACACACACAATCAATATAACAATTTTTTCATCATTTTTATCATAATAATAATAATTATGACTAGCGCTCAAGCATATCAGGTACCCATTTACACTTGGGTGGAGAGTGGCAAATGTAGATTAATAGTGCCGCGGCAGGACTTGAACCCCACACCTTGTGATCTGCAGTCGGGTGACTTATCCACTGGACCACAGCACCTCTACATCTTTTTCTTAACACTGCAGGGTTGGACGTTTCATCTCATAGTTTCTACCCCCCTCCAAATTAAAGATGGCTGACGTCAACTTACCATTCAAAATCATCTCGATCACACGTGCAATTGATGGAGGAGATGGGTCTATCGTAGTCTCGTCCATTGAAGCAGTCGGAGTGGACACGCCTTCTCTCGTAGATGGTCTTCCTACCCAAGAGACAGCTGTGCTCAGGGAATTCTTCTCCAGGATACCATTGCTTGTAGTCATCATCACCGCAGTTCGTAGCTATTCAGAAAAAATTCAAAGAAAAATTATTATTATTATTATTTATTCAGCAAAAACTAAGAAAATCATAAAATACAAAACAAGAGTACATTTGGAAAAGATTCACATGGATGCCAGGAAAGAAAAAGATGAACTAAATAAATGTAACCCGCATGTGTTCTTTTCCAATCCATGTGACTTTACAGAAATGGTAACAATAATAAAATGATGAGGTTTAACAATTCATGAATCACTGTGCAATCAACAATAACAATCATTGACAAGAAAGAAAACAAATTAAAAAGATAAAAATGTAACCAATAAAGGGGATTGATCGCAAGGGGATTGGCTAAATACGAAACCGGGTTGGGGGCATATGGGCTGCAAAATTTGAACTCTGCATCCCCAAAATGGGGCCTATGCATACAAATCTTTAAAATGTTGATCCTGATCTCTTGGATGAAGAAAAAAAAGGTTGGTGTGGATCCTTGATATTAGTTTAAAGTTGGCAGCACACGGATGTACGCACGGGAGCGTAATACCCATTGGCTCAGTGTTATGTAGTGATCGGGAGTGATTGTCAAGTTGCCTACTTCACGATCGACTATGTACCTACGCATGAACATCTTAAACTCTTTTCATGCCACAGGGCTAATCCCCATTGTGCCAAGCCCCAAATCCCCCCCGTGCCAAGTTTATTTTGAGATAATCTGATTAACGCGATGGTTCAATGAATAACACGTTCGAAACACACAGCACAGTCCAATGAGCATGAACAATAACTGCTATTACGAATGAGTGCGAGCATGCACAAGGCAGCGAAGCAATGGCTCACTCGCATGTACAAAGCACTAGAACGGTAACGTGCATGCAGCCTTATGGCAGGCTATGAGTTAAAATCCATGAAGAAAAGGAAGTTCTCACTCACAAAAGACAGGTCTGAAGTTGATCTGGACAATGAGCCAGGAGTGGGTGGCAGTCTCTGAACCAAAGACGGTGAAGACGAGTGACTTTTCTCCAGGCTCTGTCATCAATCCATACACATAGATCTTGGATTCTGAGAACATCTCTGAATGCCAGGTCTCCCCCTCATTCACGCTGTACCTGTATTACAGAGAGGTTGAAAGAAAGGATGATTTGATTGGATTTGATTGAATCACTAACTGACAGACTGACAGATTGACATCACTAAAAGATTAATTCATTAATTGACTGATTTACTGATTGATTGATTGATTAATGGATGGAAGGATGGAAGAAAGGAATGATGGATAGATGGATGGATGGATGGATAGATGGATGAATATATGATTGATTGGTTGTTTGATTTAATAATAATAATACTACTAATAATAATAATAGTAGTGTGAACTTATAGAGCTCACACACCCTCTAGGGACGCTCATGGCGCTAGCTCAGCAACAGCTCTCTTTAATACAAGTAAAGTAAATGTTTATTTGCTAATAGATTTATACCATCAGAAACTCAAAAACATTTTTGCAAAATTTGTATCACCCATTTCAATCCTCGGCTCTTGACTATTGCTATTGACTGATTGATTGATGCTGGATGCCGATGGATGGATGGATGAATTGATTGCATGATTGATTGATTGATTGATTGATGGATTGATGGATGGATGAATGGATTGCACGATTGATTGATTGATTGATTAACTGATTGATTGGTGAATTGATTGCATGATTGATTGATTGCTTGATTGATTGCTTGATTGATTGATTGATAAATTGATTGCATGATTGATTGATTGATTGCTTGATTAATTGATTGATTGATGAATTGATTGCATGACTGATTGATTGGTTGCTTGATTGATTGATTGATGAATTGATTGCATGATTGATTGATTGATTATTGATGGGTGGATGGATGAATTGATTGCATGATTGATTGATTGATTGATTGATTTATGGATGGATGGATAAATTGATTGCATGATTGACTGATTGATTGATTGATTGATTGATTGTTTGATTGATTAATTCAATAAGTGATTTGTTGAATGGGTGATTGGCTGATTAGGCTGACTACCGTAAATCTCTGTGTATAAGGCGCACTTTTTTCCGCCAGAGAAATTTGAAAGTCAGGAGTGCATCTTATAAACAGGTACAGGATACTTTGAGTCCTCAAAATGCTACTTTTTAGTGCTTTTTTTACCATCTCTGGGTCTCAACATAAATAACATAATGTGATCAAAGAATAGGATCTACTATTTGAAGATAACCAACGTTCCTAATTTGAAGGGACAAGAGTTGTTGTTTTGTTTTTTGTTTTGTTTTTGTCTTAAGAATAGGGTGCGTCTTATACACGGAGATTAACGGTAACTTAATATTTGACTAACAAATTAAAATCTGATTGATAGATGGCTTAGTTGTTTGAATAAATGACTGACTGACTGACTGACCAAATGATGGAATAACAACTTACTTGACTGCATTTGTATCTCCTCTCTGTTCCACTGCAGTCGCCACACCACCGTGGTCTCCAAAAGCAAAGAAATGATTACCACGCAACACCTACAACAAACATAGAAAAGCATCATGAAATAACTGAAATTGGTTGTATCAGCCACCCATTTATCACACCTTGGTAAATATGGCAGTTTCTCTCAAAATGCAAAAATTACCCAAATTAAATTTTAGCTTGATCCAAGTCAATTTTTCAATAAACACAAGACAGGTATACAGTCAAACCTGTCTATAGTGACCGCCCAAGGGAAACACAAAAAGTGGTCTTAGTAGACGGGTGGTCTTTGTAGACAGGTTCCTTTTGTACATGTTTCAATGATAAACCATTTTCAAGGGAAACAAAAATGTGGTCTTTGTAGACAGGTGGTCACTAAAGCAGGTTTGAATCTATTTTGAATTAATGAAGATTAACTGACCTCATACCACGATGCCCCAGCCGTAGCTGAGAGGTAGACGTTGAATCCCATGGTCTCGTTTCCAAGCAGGGTCTTGCCGACCTTACCGGTGGCCAGGATGAGACCAGGAGCGGAGGCCTTGGAGAGGATGGGAATGGTACGAGAGCCTGGGGCCGACTGACTGAACTTCTGTGAGAGATGCAGCGAGCATTCTCCCTCTTTGGGCTGGAAGATAAGGGAAATTTGAATTGATGGCTGATCGATCAATTGACTAAATTATTTATTTAAATACTTACTGATTGAGTTTTGGGCTGATTGATTGATTGATTCAACCTGTTATTTGCTCCTTCATCTAAATTCCTTAACTCATTCATCCGTTTATTAATTCATTCATTCATTAACTCACTGATTCCTTTGCTCATTCATTCATTCATTCATTAACTCACTGATTCATTTATTCATTCATTTATTCATTCATTCATTCATCATTCATTCACACACTGATTCCTTTATTCATTTATTCATTCATTCATCATTCGTTAACTCACTGATTCCTTTATTCATTCATTCATTCATTCACACACTGATTCCTTTATTCATTTATTCATTCATTCATTCATTCACACACTGATTCCTTTATTCATTCATTTATTCATTTATTCATTCATTCATTCATTCATTCACACACTGATTCCTTTATTCATTTATTCATTCATTCGTTCATTCATTTACACACTGATTCATTTATTCATTTATTCATTCACACACTGATTCCTTTATTCATTTATTCATTCATTCATCATTCATTAACTTACTGATTCCTTTATTCATTCATTCATTCATCATTCATTCACACGCTGATTCCTTTATTCATTTATTCATTCATTCATCCATTGATTAATTAATTCATTTATTCATTAACTCATACAGATTCCTTTACTCATTCATTCATTTATTCATTCATTCATTCCTTCATTCATCAACATATCTATATGTTTGATTGACCGATTTCTATCAGTTGATAGCTGGATAGATGGGCGGAAGGATGGGATGATGGATTGAACAACATATAACTGGATGAGAGACTTACATTATAGCGACAGCCGTACGGGTTGCCATCTGCATCATTTTCAGGGGCAGGCACCAGGAACCATTCTCCGCCCTTGTCAAAGGATCCATAGGTAGCCATGTTCTCTGCAGTATAAGACGACGATGCATCTGTGTTCAGGAGCACGTTGGCTGCGTAGATGCCGCGCAGTCCGTCCACTTTGTGGAAGTCAGCAAACGGCTCATCGACATAGCGACTGGAACAAAGATTAAAAAACAATGATAATAATATAATATTCAGCTTTTATAAAGCGCTTAATACATCTTGGACGTCTCTCAAATAAAGCGCTTTACAGATATATTATAACTCCGGTCATTGGATGCTTGCCCGTATACACTGTGTGCACAATCTCCACTACCTGGGGATTATTTCAGCCAGGCGTTACTTGACGCTAAAAAACGGTTTGACCAACAATGATATATAAATATAAGCCATTAAATGTTCATATTTCTGACATAAGTATTGAATTCAATACAGAACCAGGAGGGTGTTTTACAAAGACTAAGATCGACTTTAAGTTGAACTTAACTATGGCAGGCAATTAATGCCACAATTTTCTCTCACCATTTACGGGCATTGGTCTATCAAGGGACGTACAAATCATGGTCACAAATCTACAGAATTTACATTTTTGGATAATTCATTATTGAAGGAAAAATATTCTCTAAAGATCATAATTAAGAAAACAATGACGAGAGCAACCAGTGGCATGAATGGCCTGCCATAGTTAAGTCCAACTTAAGGTCGATCTTAGTCTTTGTGAAACACCCCCCAGTTCTAAGAAGCCTTACCTTAGCCAAGAATCTTTGCCAGCTCCCTCCGGGTTATAGTAGGAGATGTTCATGAGAGAGAGGGAGAAGACGACGCCCTTGGCCTCTGAGATGTAGAGATTGGTCTGCAGGTCCTGATGATGGACACACACAAAGACCTGTTCCTCGGACGCATCGGCAATGTAGAAATCCTGAGGGAAGAACGCATGATCTCAAGTTATTAATGTAGAAATCGTGAAGGATGGGAGAGTAATCTGAGGGTTTTTTTTATAGCTACTTTGCCAATGATTCTTTTAAATTTTAAACGGATAGATGTTGTTTTGGTATTGATAGGACAGTTTTGGTCAAACTGAATTTTAGTAACCAAAACCTGCACCATTACATAACAAACTAATAGTTATAACTGCACCACGCTCGAAAGGTAAACAAAAATTACAAACACCTTAATAATAAGCCTGTTAACAATTATGATTCCAGAACCTTGCATGAAACACCAATAGTAATATACAACCCTGTATGCTACATGATCAACTTTTTCTGATTGATTCCACACCGTTTCTTTCCCAATGCAATGGCATGACCAGGGCCCCATTTCACAAAACTTGTCACCAGTTAAAAATGGCAGTTTTTGTTATAAGCTAGTGAAATCCTTGCTTATAATTGGTTATCAGCAGATTTATCATTTTTGTCATTTGTCATTTGTCATTGAAAAAAGGCTTTGTGAAATGGGGCCTAAAACTCAACTTTATCTCTAAACTTACCCTTTTAGGAACATCGAAAGGAAATTCAGCCATCTTGAATGCTCCCCTATCATGGGAGACCAAAAGCTCTAGTTCATCTTCCTGTCAGGATGAAAAAAGAAAGACGAAAAATGAAAGGTTTACTATTGGTAATAATACAATGATAACAAGTTAATTTTACCGGATTTCTAAGGACACAAAAACATATGGAGGGCTGACATAATATTGGTTGACACAATGTAGCCATTTTTGTCTGAGTTTGTCAGACAGATGGAAGAAAGTCAATGGACCGGAAACAAGGCAAATTCCTCTCGCAACTCTTGCAACATTTGCAACGCTCGCAACTCTGGCGAATTCCTCTTGCAAGTTGCAATCAATTCAATTTGATTCAAGCACTCACAATTTCCAGTTTTCATCAGCATCCAAAGATAGTATGACATAATTCATGAACTTTCAGTTTTTTAGATTGAGATTGAAAGGTTTTATTAATTGCACTTCGCAGCCAGATGGCTGAATTATGAACAATTTACATTGGCAATAAATTATAATACATACAAATGTGGTTTGACATTCTCACAAAGTATACTATACAGTATATAACAAAATTCATAACAAAGTTCATAACTAATATAACTAAGGCAATAACAGGCAAATTAAGTCACGTTTAAAATATATTTTGTGAGGTGACACAAGAGTGGGTCAAAGGATGAGCAAGCAGGCCTTTTGCTCTTTCAGTTGGCATAAATTGTTATCAATACGGTAAATCTCTTTACATGCATGGGGATTTTTATTCTTCTTTTTTACAATATCTGTTTTCTATTATTTGATTCTGCTTTCTGTTTTGGGTCTTCCCGTATTTTCTGTTTACTGGTTTATAATTTCCAGTTTTGTTTCCTCATTTTCTTTTAATATTTCTTCAGTTTTCCGTTCTGTTTTGTTCCCTGTTTTCAAATGCATTCAGGTTGTAAAGACTGTTAGACTGTTTACGTCATGCCAGCCACACAAGTACTGTATATACATGTATGGAGGTTTATCACAAAGCATGCGATCAAATCACAGTTATCACTCCAATTAAAACAGATAAACAGGATATCAAATGCATTCCAAGATAAGGAATCACTGATGCAGAGTCCATATTCCAGAAGTGTACATGTACATGTACAGTACTTAAATTGTTGACACTGAGAAGTATGCATTTTCAGAAACTTACATTTAATATATATTTTCTCCATTATTGTTGTTTTTATATGCGAGGGGCATGTGTATGAACATTAAGGTTCAGTATACTGCATGTAGAGTGGTATTTTGAAAGTAAAGACCATTCTTGTTTTACATCAAAATTGACACATATTTGCTTGATGACAGAAGTACATAAATCTTCCTAATCATAACAAAAGTACATCACATGTGTTTTGTGAAATCAACATGAATTTTCTCTCTGTTCAAATGTGTAGATGCAAGGGGTATTTTTTGAGCAGTTTATTTTTATATTTTTTTTTACTTTTTAATGTATCTGAATTTATACTTTGCCTAACACCTGCACTACATGTACTGTTAATTGTAAAAAATTTCAAAACTCAGTATGCACACTCCATACATTAATAATGTCTACCGGTAGTTGTGTTGCTAGGTGGAACAAACATTTTTTGGCTGCTCCAACCTAATGCCTCATTATCATACAGTGCACTTTCCTGATTGAAATACTGTAATTCTCCTAATAGACCATTTTCATATAAATGTATTAACTTTTAATGCGTAAAATCTTTCTTTAGTGCCTAGTTACACATTATTTTATTCACCTGTTACAAAAAATTGTATTTCTATAGTCAGAATACAAATTGCATATATTCCTTGTTGCTAGGTAGGACAAGCCATAGTGTTTGCCCTACCTAGCAACAGTTAATGATGTAATTTGCATTCTGACTGGTGAAATACAATTATGTGTAACAGGTGAGTGAAATAATTTGTAACATGGCACTTAATAAAAATGTATGCATTAAAATTGATTACATTACAAAACTAGTCTAAAAATTTTTTTTTTTAATGTACCGTAATGCTTCCTGGGAGAAATTTCAATTATTTGAACATATTTTGACAAATGTTTCCACAAATATGTTTAAATAATAGTCCAAATTTCTGATCTTTGCTTTAAAAATCAGCCTAATTAATGAATAATGATCACCCTTTATAGGACTATCAAAACAATACTGTCTGAATAACTGCGGTCAGCCACGCTATGAAGTGATGATTATCACCAAAAACGTCATTAATTATTCAATCATAATAATGCCACGATGCGCATCACAAGTATTCCTAAATTGACACGAACAAACAGTGATAGTAACAGCGAGTACATGTTGCACTATAATGCATACTGTATGCACATGTACATGTACATGTACATGTACGTATACATGGTTGCTAGGTTGCTGTTATGTTATTTAGCCCATAAATGAATGCATGTATTGTTCGATAAACCCCAAGCACGATACACATTCATGTGACACGTCCAAGCCATACATTCACAATTTCACACGTACATACTGTATATGTATTAAAGCAAACAGCTCATGTGCACCTGTTCGATTCATAATCATCATTGTACTGTACATACATGCTAATGGATAATGGCTTTGATCAGGCTTTTTTCAATTCAATTTCTTATTCTTCTAGATTTTTTGATACTTTTGTTTTGTTGTTGTTATTGAAGTTATTTGCTTACTTGCTTGTATAATTTATTGTCTTTTGCCTTTGTTTAAAGTACGCATTAAGTTGAAAGCTACAATATGATGCACAATTGCAGGGCTTGACACTATTAACAGGCACCTGCATGCATGGTGACCTGGGACACATGGGCGCCCAAAACCTTTAAATAGTCCAGACCCTCAAAAAGGCAGCATTTTTTACAAAGGGCTGAGCATTCATCCAAACTCTAAAAATGTACATCCATACTCCCTTCCGGCAAAAAAGGGTAACTATGGATCCCTGCACAATTGTCATATGAACTCTCAAGAGGATGTTCCTCTATTGCTCCTCGCCTGTGGAATTCCCTCCCATCATCTATTCACGAAATTGACAATCTGGACCACTTCAAAGCTTCGCTCAAAACTCACATCTTCCTCCAGACATTTAAATGCTGACTTTATTGGAGGAGCTCCTGCCTTTGAATGTTTTTTAAAACAGATATATAGCGCCATACAAATGCGGTGAATCATCATCATCATCAACTCTACTATTTACATCATTAAAAAGTAAATATTAACCTAGTTATGAACAAAATGAGACAAACAGGATAGAGTAAATAAACAGGGTTTTTCTGGATTTCAGCCCAGAATGCATCGACCCTCTACAATGGTTATTTGTTTACCGGTATTTCGAAAATGAGATCATTTTTAACCATACATGTACATGTAGAGTATGTTTTTCATCGTGCAGTGCATGGCACAAAGGGGTGGAAAGCAATAAAGAGTCTAAGCAAATACATAATCCGTGTACGTGCATTCATACATGTTTCAAATAGTATTTGTACTTGTGTAATGTTTTTTTTTAATGGTGCAAAAACTGCAATACATAGGGCCGACATGTACATATAAAAATGTTTCAAAGATACACATACAGTACATACAGTGTAGCTCAACATTAAATTCTTCTATCTGGTTTGATGATCTATCTATGAAACTTAGGTGAAAATTGCTCTTGACTTTTAATATTTTGTTTAGAAATTATATGGCTAGGGTTAGGGTTAGCATTGAGTTTGAGGTTAGGTTTAGGGTTAGAGTTGGGGTTAGAACTAGGGTTATGTATAGCTTTGGGTCTAGGGATAAAATTAGGAATTTGGTTTAATAGTGTAGCAAATCAACAGATTGCTCCTCACTTTATTTCGTCCAAAATGATATGGCTAGGGTATTAGGGTTACACTTGAGTCTGAAGTTAGGTTTAGGGTTAGGTTTAGGGTTAGGTTTAGGGTCGGGTTAGGTTTAGGGTTAGGTTAGGTTTAGGGTAAGGGTTTAGTGCAGCAAATGGACTGCAAAGCAATTGTTGCAGGAGCATGTCATGTACGAATAGCTGATTGTTTTTTTTGGGGGGGGGGGAGGGGGTTTATAGTATCCTCTTAAATCTTGGTAAGAAATACTTGTTTCAAATGAGCACTGTCTATACCGGTAAGTAGTCTGAACATAGATTCTGATAGCAATTCCTGGCACATCTTTTACACTTCATGTCGGCTACTACTGAGTGCTACTGGTTAAAATGGAATTGAAAGCCAGGCTGTTGATCAAACATAAATCCATGCACTTTTCACCCTCGTCTGGGAACAGCCAATATTGGATATAAACATCAATCAGCGCGAACAGCAATATACATGTATAGTCAGAGGGTGCCAAATCCGGCTGCAAGAAGTGCTGTGCACATATTCCTATTCATCATAATAATGTACATGCGGCAATGGACATGTTCATGCGGGTATGTAGCGGTGACGCCTAATTTTGTAACAACATCCGTAAACTGTATATTCAGATACCAGGAAAATCATCTTTTTAATGAATTTCACCCCAAAACCAAAAAAAATCATATACAATTTGTTTTTCTACTGGTACAAGATGCAATCATTATTATACATGTTGTAAGCCTCTTTTCTAACAATGAGCACCGGTAATGCGCTTATGGAATTATAAAGATTATAAAAAATGATTTTACTGGTAGAAGTTGAACACATTTACCACTATAAAACCTCTCATCCGGCAAAGAGCGGTTCTGGCTCAGAATGAAAGTTTGAGAGAATGGAACTCATTAATCACATACATGTACATGTACATGTATGCTGTCTGTTTGGGGCCAGAAGGCCATATTGTGTGCTTTTTACAGGTAGTCGCACAGCTTCAAATATACATGAACCTCCTCTACCTATTACACTAGGCAATGCGTGTCATATAATTCCATACAAATTTGCAATTATTATCATAAATATTGCATACTCTGCGGGTCTTATACAAAATATACAAACCAACATAGAACTGTACTATTACTAATTTGCCTATATAATGCAGAGGTGATAGTGAGCACTAAAAAACAAAATAGGTTTTTTGTTTTCCCCTCAACCACGT